TCGTTAAAATAAACCTTTGGGTATTCGTTCAAGTACATGCCAGAATATTGTCTGAAGTGTTAGTTGCTTAGTTGTGTCTGACTCTTTGTGACCCCCATGGACTGTAGCCCTCCAGGCTCATCTGTCCATGGGATTCTCCAAGCAGGAATCTTGGAGTGGGTAGCCATTCCCTTCTCCAGGGGATCTTCCAGACTCAGAGATTAAGCCCAGGTCTCCTGCATTCCAGGCAGATTCTTTACTGTCTGAACCACCAGAGAAGCCCAGAATATTGTACAGACCCCAATTAAAACTCTAAAATTTTCACTGGCAGGGTCACCACCTTTGGGCATAAGGATGTCCTGCAGTCTTCTGGCAATTCCCCACAACAGCAACCTTAAAGGTTTTGCTTCTAAATACTTAATATTCACAAAAATTGCTCGGCTATAAATGATACTTGATATCAAGAAGTCTCCAGAGCTAAAGAATAAAAGATGCAAAAAAAGGTCAAACTATCAGAAGAAAATACTAAGAGGTAAATATAGTCCACAAGTTTTTCTTAAGAAAGCACAGGAAAAGGTTCTCAGGTGAATAATTAGACACAGGACAATCAAAATGACAACAACGTATGGCCATAGAGAAGTCCAAAAGATCACTCTCAAAAATTCTAGAGACAAAGAACGCAAGAGTTGGGTGAAGAAAAACGACCCTTAGATAGTGCTGGTGAATGTTTATTGGTAATTGTTGCTAGGAGGACATATGTAGATGTGCATTTTTAACGGCGGAGACAGACAGACCCTATAATCTGGCAGTCTAACTGCTGAGACTGTATGTGGAGAAAATCAGATTTTGGAAAACTTGTGCACACAAGCACACGCTGCAGCAGTTCACAAAACAGCCCAGATATGGAAGTAAGCAAATGTACATGAACAGATGAATGGATAAAGAAAAAGGAATACATGCATGCAAAGAAATATGGTTCTGACTTAAAAAAATGAGATCATGTCAACTGCAGGGACACAGATAAATCTAGAGGTAATATCACTAGGTAAAGTCAGATGGAGAGAGAGAATTCTTATATCATGTACAGGTGGGAAATAGGTACTCACTGCATGCATGCATGCTAAGGCGTCTTCAGTACTATGAGCTTATTGACACGTGAAATAAACAGTCTTAGGCAATAAACTTATGGTCACCCATGGGGGATGGTGGGAAAAAAGGCATAAATTAGGAGGGAGGAAATAACTCATACCCACAAATACATAAAAAATAAGTGATCAACATGGGCCTACTTGAGAAAGTGTGTTGGACTAAACACACTGTAATAACCTACATGATAAAAAACCCAAAAGATGAATAGACACAGAAATAAGTATAACTGAAAAAGATTCTGTACACCTATAACATAACCTTGTAAGTCATTTTTACTCCAATTAAAAATACATACTGTTAGGGGAAACAGAAGTATTAAAGAGACACAAGCTTTGGGTGGCTTCTTCTCACATATTCCACTCTAGTTTACAACTGGGCTCTAAGACTACAACTTGGATCCCATAGTAACAAAACTTGGGCATGAAGGTGTTCCTCTGCCTTGTGTCCAATTTTCAAAACAGAAACCTAAAAATACTGCTCTAAGTTACTTCATATTCACAAGCAGTGCTGGGATCTAAATGATACACGACCTTAAAAATTTTTCAAGGGAATCCTATCAAAACAAGTTAAAAGTTGGCAGACTTAAAGAAAAATACTTTCAACTGTAAATTCTTGTCACACTGTTTTAAAAAATACCCAAATTGCTGAACATCGTGATCTATGAGAGATGTGTGTGAGTCAAGAGCATAATGAGGGATCACTCTGCACCAGTGTGAAAGGCCATCATGAACATTCTGCAGAGAAGAAACAGTGAAAATGCAGAGACTAGGGAACCCATTTATGGTGCTTGTAGCAGGTAAAAGATAAAAACAGTATAGAGGTGAAAATGGGACTGCCTTAAAAAAAAAATAAAGCTACTATAAGATCCTGCAGAAGCACTCCAAGGAATATTTGAGAAGACAATATTTTGAAACGCACATGCAACCAAGTTTACACTGGACTACACGTTACAATAGCCAAAAAAAATGGAAATAAACATATTGTCAATGGGGAGATAAATGGGTAAAGAAGAGACCCATGTATACTATGGAAGATGACTCTGCCAGAAGAAAATTAAATAATGTAATTTTCAGGAACACTGACTTTGCTTGGACTCACGTCCACTGAGTCGGTGATGCTATCTAACCATCTCTTCAACAGTCGCCCCCTTCTCCTTTCGCCTTTGATATTTCCCAGCCTTAGGGTCTTTTCCTATGAGTCAGCTCTTTGCATCAAGTGGCCAAAGTAATGGAGCTTCAGCTTCGGCAACAGTCCTTCCAATGAATGTTCAGGTTTGATCTCCTTGCTGTCCAAGGAACTCTCAAAAGTCTTCTCCAGAACCACAATTCAAAAACATCAGTTCTTCAGTGCTCTGCCTTCTTTATTGTCTAGTTCTCACATCTGTACATGACTACTGGAAAGACCATAGCCTTAACTATATAGACCTTTGTCGGCAAAGTGATGTCTTTGTTTTTTAACACACTGTCTAGTTTTGTCATCGCTTTCCTGCCAAGAAGCATAGTCTTCTTTTTTTATATATATAATTTTTTTTCATTTATTAGTTGGAGGCTAATTACTTTACAATATTGTAGTGGTTTTTGTCATACATTGACATGAATCAGCCATGGATTTACATGTATTCCCCATCCCGATCCCCCCTACCACCTCCCTCTCCACCCAGTTCCTCTGGGTCTTCCCAGTGCATCAGGCCCGGCACTTGTCTCATGCACCCAGCCTGGGCTGGTGATGTGTTTTACCATAGATAATATACATGTTTCGATGCTGTTCTCTCGAAACATCCCACCCTCGCCTTCTCCCACAGAGTCCAAAAGTCTGTTCTGTATATCTATGTCTCTTTTTCTGTTTTGCATATTGGGTTATCGTTACCATCTTTCTAAATTCCATATATATGTGTTAGTATACTGTATTGGTCTTTATCTTTCTGGCTTACTTCACTCTGTATAATGGGCTCCAGTTTCATCCATCTCATTAGAACTGATTCAAATGAACTCTTTTTAATGGCTGAGTAATATTCCATGGTGTATATGTACCATAGCTTCCTTATCCATTCGTCTGCTGATGGGCATCTAGGTTAGCAATAGTCTTCTAATTTCATGGCTGCAGTCACCATCCACAGAGATTTCAGAGCCCAACAAGAGGAAATCTGTCACTGCTTCCACCTTTTCCCCTTCTATTTGCCATGAAGTGATGGGAGTGGATACCATGGTCTTAGTGTTTTTAATGTTGAGTTTTAAGCCGACTTTTTCACTGTCATCCTTTGCCCTCATCAGGAGGGTCTTTAGTTCCTTTTCGCTTCCTGCCATTAGAGTGGTATCATCTACATATCTGAAGTTGTTGAAATTTCTCCCGGCAATCTTGATTTCAGCTTATAACTCATCCAGCCTGGCATTTCTCATGATGTGCTCTGCATATAAGTTAAACAAACAGGGTGACAACAAAAACAGCCTTGTCATACTCCTTTCTCAGTCCTGAACCAGTCAGTTGTTTCGTACAAGGTACTAACTGTTGGCTCTCGACCTGTATGCAGGTTTCTCTGTATGTGGAGACAGGTAAGATGGTCTGGTACTACCATCTCTTTAAATAAGAGTTTTCCACAGTTTGTTGTGATCCACAGTCAAAGGCTTTAGCATAGTCAATGAAACATAAGTAGACATTTTTCTGGAATTCCCTTGCTTTCTCTATGATCCAGTGAATGTTGCCAATTTGATCTCTGGTTCCTCTGCCTTTTCTAAATCCAGGTTGAATATCTGGAAGTTCTTCACATAATGCTAAAGCCTAGTTTGGAGGGTTTTGAGCATAACCTTACTAGCATGGGAGATGAGTACAACTGTCTGGTGGTTTTTGAACATTCTTTAGTACTGACCTTCTTAGGGACTGGGATGAGGATTGACCTTTGCAGTCCTGTGGCCACTGCTGGGTTTTCCAAACTTGCTGACATTCTGAGTGCAGTACTTTAATAGCATCTTTTAGGATTTTAAATAACTCTGCTGGAATTTCATCCCCTCTACTAAGCTTTGTTGGCTAAAAATAAAGTGCTTCCTAAGGCCCACTCGACTGTTCACAATCCAGGATGACTGGCTCTGACTTCACACTCGAGGATGACTGGCTCTGGGTGAGAGACTACATCATTGTGGTTATCGGGGGTCATTAAGATCTTTTTTGTACAGTTCTTCAGTGTGTTCTTTCTATCTCTTCTTGATCTCTTCTGCTTCTATTAGGTCATTATCACTTCTGTCCTTTACTTTGCCCATCTTTGGATGAAATATTCCTTTGCTATTTCCAATTTTCTATGTCTACTGACTAAAAAAAAATCACCTATCTATGTACCCACTAGATTAGGCACCAAGTTTGCCACAAAATTTCCTGTTTATAATCCAGCACTAGCCCCCAAAATAAAGAGCTTGTGAGCATGCACTGCTACAGAAGAACAAAAATTCTGAGGTCAACACTCTTTATCCTTAAACAGTTTGCTCTAAAAGCATTCTCTGTAGCATTCTTAGGAAGCCCTTGTCCCAGATACGTGGCCATGTGGCTGTGAGATGTCCTCTATGCCTCCATCCTGCCCCCCCTTTCCACACAGCAGACTTGACTGTACTCAACCCTGTTTCAGAACAGGAATAATTTATTTCTATGAATATGACTTTAATAATATTCCATAAGTATTCAGTAGTCAAAGTTTTCTCCAAATCAAGAAAAAAGAATCCAACATAATCGGCAAATATTTTGTGTGTGTATACATGTATACGCACACATATAATTTAAAAAACCTCTTTCTGTAATTTAGTTCTGTGACAGAAGGAGTGAAGGACTCAATGTTGAACCACCCCGTGATAAGGCTTTTTCAGGGTGATCAGTTTCTTGTGAATTATTCATCAGGCTTGCTCCAATTCCACAAGGACTCCACCACAGTCACTAGGATGGAGAAAGATCACTGGTTTTCCATGTGCTCCTATTTTGGGCTCTTCACTTAAAATACGAATCTTTTTTTCTTTCAAATCCATCACAGCCACATTTATATTATCCACCTTGAGAAAAGGAAATAAACAAGAACACATTTGAGATCATTAAAATACCAAACTACAGTATCGTAAGACATAGAAGAAACTTTGCAAACATGTGTCTAACTCCTCTGCCTTTGGGCAGAACCATTCTTTAACCATCACAAAAATAAGAGTTTGCTAAATTTGCTAAGTTTGCTAATAAAGAGGTTGCTAGGTGAGCAACCACAGTGCTTAAGCATTTTCTCTATTAGTAAACATTTCTCCTTAGGACCTAAATGATGTCTGCTTTACCTCATAGCATGTTCTTGTTGCAGCACTATTGATGATTCTTCACAAGTTATTTTTCCTAAGAGTCTTGGCTTCTTCATTTACAAGAGAGATGAGGCCCACAATACATATAGCTGAGAGTTCAAAATGAGATAACAGATGAGAAGCTTTGAGCACAGTTTACAGAAGGTACTCAACAGATATGAGTGCCTCCCTGATCTCCAAACCTCCCATCTGCCAAACTGTCTGGTTATTACTTTTATTTTGGCCATGCAGTATGACATGTGGGATCTTACTCCCATGACCAGGGATCAAACTTGTGCCCCTTGCACTGGAAGTGTGGATTCTTAACCATTGGACTACCAAGGAAATCACTGGTTACTACTTTTGAGATCAGAACTTCATATACATGAAAATCACTATTAAACTGTCACCAGAATATCTTTCACCATTCTTGAAAAATCCAGACATGTATAATTTTGCAACTCTCTTCTAAGCCATTTCTATTTTCTTCATATTTATTGGTAGTCTAGAAAGGAGCAAATGTGTTTCTAAATACTTGATGGAAGAGTGATTTTTCTCATTTCTGAGGGCTTCTCAGGTGGTGTTAGTATAAAGAACCCACCTGCCAACGCAGGAGACATAAGAGACACAATTTGATCCTTGCATCAGGAAGATCCCCTGGAGGAGGACATAGCAACCTACTCCAGCATTCTTGCCTGGAGAATGTCATGGACAGACAGTCCTGGAGGGCTACAGTCCATGGGGTCACAAAGAGTCAGACACAATTGAGCGACTTAACACGTACCTGTCTTAGAAAGTCATCCTCCTAGACTGGGAACCCAGTAAGTAGATAGAAAGGGATAGTAAGAAGCCCTGCATTCTGAGGCAGTCCTACATCACCCTGGAGTTTAATGATCTAATAGCTTCACAAACAATTAAAAAACAAAACAAAACAAAACCCCAGAGAGAATAACATCCATGTATCCAAATATAGACTTAACAAATGTTCACATTTATACAGCCTTATTTTCAAAGAGCCAAGGATTACATACTGCCTTTTAAAACTGGTTGAACAACAGATGAGGGTGCCAAATGTTACTAAACATAAACTATAATCTCTTCAAACAGAGTACATTCTTTCTGAACACAAGTGCTCGGTGGAGGATACGCAGTAGGTTCTCTAATACGTTTGCAATGTGAACTAAATAAATACTTGTGTTCATGCTGGAATCCAACCTCCCTCTTTCCTGGACTGAGAATGAAGCCTAACTACTAATTATGTCATTTTTTAAATCAAGAGACCTATCCTACCAAAATAATGTAAATCGAAGCATAATTAATACTGCTGATATTCCAAAAGCAGTTTTCAGAACATGAACATTTATGGATAAAGCCTCTCTAAAGAGACTGTTCTTGTCTAACTTTTTTTTCCCCAGAAACTGTTAGCAGATGCAACTGAGAAGATGTGAGAAATCACAGTCGGTAACTGAAAATGTATTGCCTTTGTAATAAGGGTCAAGTTATTAAAATTTTAAAGATAGAAAATAATTATACTACTTAGCATGTATATGGAAATTCTTACTTTATAAAGTCTTGTCACTTGCTTCTTCTAATTGCCCTGTGACAAGGAAAACAGTGTATTCCTACTGCACAGAAGGTGCACATGATCAGTAAATACCATAGCAAAAATGCAAATCTGTTTTGGCCAACTTCAGTGGATAGTGACAGTTAAATCCAAACTTCAGTGAGACATATTTTCATTATGATTCGCAGTTTTCTAGAGGGAAAGAGACTATATCTATAGATCCATCTTTGAAGAGGACCAATATTACTATGATTTTTCTGGTAGTCATGTGCAGATATGAGAGTTGGATCATAAAGAAGGCTGAGTGCTGAAGAACTGATGCTTTCGAACTTGGATGCTAGAAAAGACTCTTGAGAGTCCCATGGACTGCAAGGAGATCAAACCAAATCAAAAGGAGAAATTTTAAAAACATAAAAGACATTTTAAAAGAGAAATTTACAACACCAAGGATTAAAGTAATTAAATACCTCAATGCAGACATGGTGCATCCCTCCAGCCTTGTTTTTCTTTAGGAATCCTGCAATTGGACTGTCACTTCCCAGTGGGTGCAGCAGCTCCATCTTGGTGTTTCCCAGGTTGACAAAAACGACGGACACTCCATGCTCTGGAAGAGGGACCGGCTCACCCACCTCGGCCCCCAGAACATTTTTATAAAATGCTCTGGCCTTTTCCAAGTCTGGCACTGCGATTGCAACATGGTTGAGTCGACCCAGGTTCCATACAGGGCCAGCCCCTGGATGTGAGGACAGCGACGGGCAAGTTCTTACTGTTGAAACTGGAGTCCAAAGTCTGGGGAAAAGGCCTGAAAAATTGAACTGCCATTGACATCCCTCTTTTGAGAACTGATATCTAAAATTAATTTTTAAAAATACATGTAAAAATTATTTACTTATTCTTTTTAATTAGGGAAATTAAATCAGAGGAGATAAATGAAAAACGTACATCAGAATTATTCATCCTGCTCTGCAATAACTGTCTAGAATTAAAAGGCTAATTCTAAACTTTTTATTCGCTGTTGCTTTGTTTTTGGCTGTACCATGCGGCTTTTGGGATCTTAGTTCCCTGACTGGGGACTGAACCCACACTCTTGGCAGTGAAAGCACAGAGTCCTAACCACTGGACCACCAGGAAATTCCCTTCTGTGCTTTTTAGATTCAGGACAAAGGGTGACATTTTTCATAAGAGTTTATATTTACCAATAACACTTAAAGGAAAGCTGCATATCACAAAGAATCATTTGTTACTCTCTGTATTTCATAAAGGATAAGTTTGAACGTGACAGTGAAATGACATGCATTTAATGATGAGAGCAAGGAATTTTCTTCTCTACCTACAACCAATTTTTTTGTCTTACATTCTGTAGTAAGTTAGTAAAAGTCATAACTATAAGCACCTTTTAATGTGTACTTTATGTGGATGATTATCAACTAAAGAAAATATCTCATTAGGGGAAAAAACAGGCCAAGATCAAGAGGGTACTTAAACCTATGAGAACTTTCTCTGAGTGAGTTTAATTGTTCTTTTAATAATTTTGAAAGACTAGAAGCAAAAATGCCTCTAAATGTGAAGAAACTTTGCATCTGGAAACAGAAGCAGCCTGCAATCTGTTCTCTCCAAAACACTGGACTTTAAGAGCTGGACTCCCCACCAGAATGAAAATCACAAATAAATATGAGGTCTAAATATAATCTTGCAAAACTACATCACTTAATAAACAAGTATGAAATAGCAAGTTGAAGAACATGTATTTTATTTTTATTTATTAGGCTGTGCCAGGTGTTAGTTGTGGCATGTGGGACGTTTCGTAGTTGCAGCATGTGGGATCTAGTTCCCAGACCAGGGTTCAAACCTGGGCCCTTTGCATTGGGAGCTTGGAGTCTTAGCCACTGGACCACCAGGGAAATCCCAAGAATACATATTTTACACAAAGGGTTGTTAGTTTTTAATGAAAAACACTTTAAATAGTACCTAGTATCACAGAGCTTCGGCTAAGCTAAAATTATTATTAATTTCCCTTTACTAAAGTTTTTTGATTAACAGGGAAATTAAAGCAGCACCATTTGATTTGCTTGAGGACTGTAGGGTCTTCCTTGTTGGGAAGGCAGTCTCCTCAGCCGCAGGGGGCGGGGCCTGGAATGCTTCACCAGGTGACACAGAGCTCACAGCCTGAGTCATTCTTACCACCGTGTGGGGCCTCTCCCTCACCCAGGATCAGTGACTGCTCCTTTGTCTCTGCTCAAAGCCTGACTGTCACACCTGTCCTCCGCAGGGACGGGACAAGGCTCCTTGTACTGCGGCACTGTGGCAAAGGGGAGCGTGTACAAGCAAAGTGCCCTGCCCTAGCCACAGGGAGATAGACCTGCTGGCCGTAGGGGACAGACACCCACTACCGATGTCATCTTGCCCTGTGTCTTCTCCATGCACTGTCCCAACTGGTGCTCGTGTTCTCCTTGGCGACCCCAGTTCTTTGGAGTATCTTTCAATGTATCACCATGAAATTCAATTGTGCTTCAAGCCAGTACACACATAAATATACCATTTAAAGCAAATTTCATAAAAAGAATACCTAATCCTTACTAGATGGGGTGTGTTCTAATCTTTTCTCTTCTATTTTATTTTAGTTATAAAAACAAAATACTGGTCCTACCCACTAAATATCTGCCTTGCTAGTTTCTTGTAAAAATTAAGTATTTGATGTCAAAAATATACTACTACAGTGCAAGACATATATAACTAGCAAACAATAAATTTGGCCATTCTTATTGTTAATGACACACAGTGACTGCTGGTTTATTGGGAAGCAGGGGCCTGTGGACACCAAGAAGCCATATGAAGGGCACAGTGAATTTTAAAAATGCTAACAACCAAGAAAATCATCAGTAAGACTGCAGAAACAGCTCAGTCTCTACGCCTTCTCCACACCGCTGGGATCTTTCACCCGTGGAGGACAGATCCTATGGTGTAACAACTCCTTGATTTGACCTTTTTCCCAATAAAGACCTACAGGTTATCTTAACATTAGAGTTACGCAACAATACTACCACACAATCTTGCCTAAGTAAACTGTGATCACCAATTCTGAAACAGGAGGACACCGTGAGGTGGTCCAGCTCTGCCTATTAGTTTTGATGGCCATAAATTAGAGAGAATAGTCATAGTTCAAGGGAGTACTTTAATAAATCTTCCCACTTAGAGGGAAAAAAAAAAAAACTGGTCTGATTTTCTTCCAGGTCACAATGAGTGGCAAAGCTAGGTCTCAAGTCCTGGTCTGTCTGACAACAAAGTTGATGTTGTTCAACCACGATGTTTAATTTTCCCATTCTACTAACATTATGTACCATTTTTTAGCTGAGCTGTGTGGCATGTGGGATGCTAGTTCCCCAACTAGGGATCAAACTCATGCCCCCTGCATTGGGAGCATGAAGATTTAACCACTGGACCACCAGGCAAGTCCTTCTTTACTATTCTTTGATTCTCAGTTTTTAATATCTTTAGGGTAAATCCTACGAATAATATCTATTTTCTAAGAAATAGCTTTCTAAGAGATGAGATGACTGTTTTGTGAGTATTTTTTCATGTACATATCACCTCTTTAAACTGATCCAGGGCTGAGACAGTTACAATTATTACGGTGCACTTTGTATAAGGCTCATCACTTAGATTTGGTGACTTGCAATGATAGATGTATAGACATTTTGTGACTGTAAGAAAGACTATGTTGTTGTTGTTTAGATGCTAAGTAAGTCATGTCTGACTCTTTGCAACCCCACAGACTGTAGCCCGCCAGGGTCCTCTGTCCATGGAATTCTCCAGACAAGAATACTGGAGTGGGTTGCTCTTTCCTTCTCCAGGGGATCTTCCTGACCCAGGGATCGAACCTTTGTCTCCTGCTTGGCAGGCAGATTCTTCACCACTGAGCCACCTGGGAGCCAAAAACAGTGCTCAATAAAGTACTTGTTCAGTTAGAGACAGGACTTTAAAGGACTTCAACTGTAAGTTTCAAGACAGCATTTTCTAGGAGAGAAACCTAACATTATTTAGGGTTCATGCCCTTGAACACTTTTTGAAGGTGCTCAGCTTAAATATTTGTCACGAATGTTCAGGAGTAACTCTGAGATATCACCACTTGGCAACTCGTTCCTATCAGGGAATTTCAGATTAAGAGAAATAGTTACCCCCTGATGAAGAATGAAGAGAAAAAAAAAAAAGAGGAAAAAGTAGATGAACTGGGATGTCAGAGAACTTGACGGGTTTTGTTTCTTTTTTAATGGTGGTATAGAGAACTCAAGAAACCTTCCACATCCGTCTGCTGCTTTCTTCCCTGGCTTTATTCAATATCATGAATATCTTAGGACACGTGGGAAGAAGACACACACCTTCCATATTCTTTACACAACTGACTTCCAGAGTGGGCCGGGAGTTCAGCCTGCATTTTCAGTTCCTTCTGGTTCCTCCCCCGTCTCTCACTGTCCCTTTGCCATTCACTACATTTGCGTCTGGCTCGGCCTGGCTGCCTCTTAGCTGGAAGACCCCACCTCTGGGGCCACATAGAGAATTGCTGACCGTCAGACGCAAACACAGAAGGAAATCCCCAGACTAACCCGAGGCGTCCCTGGGAAGCTCTAAAGGCGCTGACAGCAGCCAAGGAACGCGCCTCGGGGGCAGACGGCAGCAGACCCAGATATGCTGACCACACGCGGCCTCTTCGCGCCCCGGTCTCCCTTCCCGCGAGCCCCACCCTTAGGACAGCCCGGATCTCGGAGTATTCACCTGCGGCGCTCGCTGCCGCCACCTTCAGCACTCGTGCCATCTTGGGAAGCGTCTGCTAATTCCAGACTTGCATTTCCGTGGGAGGGGCGACTGTGCGGCGGGGGCGGGACAACCATGTTAGGTCGGTGCGAGAGGCCTAAAGGGCGGAGCAAATGAGGCTAGGGGCGGGGCAAGAGCCCGGAGGGGCGGGACAGACGAGGCTAAGAGCTGAACAAAATCTCCGAGGGGCGGGGCAGAAGAGGCTGGGGTCTGCCCTGTGTGCTGTGTTTTGTGTGTGCGGGGGAGCAGGCCCTCTGTTTTACAGCACAACGTTGAAGTCACCGAGTGCATCTAAAGCAGAAACTTAAAAGGAGGACGCGACACTCCTGTGGGCCCCTCAGGAATACAAAACAAAAAGTTTGGAGAAATTTCATCCAGCTGACCAAAGGCGACTTTCGCTTTCCAGGCCCGCGCCCCGACCCTACGCAAAACCGGTTGAAGTTCTCGGGCCGTCATTGGCTGAGGCTGGAGATGGGTCCGGAACCTGTGCGCCGCGGAACCTTCGTTTCCCGGCTTCAGTCGCCCGGGGGCGAATCTTTGCGGCGCGGTTTCCGGGCGGTGGCTCACTTCCTTTGCATGCGGCGCTGTGTCCCGAGTGGCAGTAAGCCATGGCCCCGCCAGCCTGGCGCCGGCGGACCCTGGAGCGGTGCCTGAGGGAGGTCGGTAAAGCCACCGATAGGCCAGAGTGCTTCCTCACGTAAGTGCCCAGATCCCGGGCTCTGGGGCGGCGTAGGACTCGCGTGGGCGCGGGCTGCGGGCTCCTGGCAAGTTCCAGATTAGGGGAAGGGGAGAGCTCTTTTCCTTAAGTTTCAGGTAGTTTGCGCTCCCCTGGCCTGTCACACTTCTTTAGATAGTTAAGAGCTATGTTCTGTGGGTCTCTCAGTTCTGTGCTGCTGAACTCAACTAACCTGGGTTATTACAGTCTCGAGGTCTCCATGCCCTCATCCTTCACACAGACGCACCGGGTGGCGTGCTCTTTCTCCCATCTGTTCCCAGAGCACCCAGTGCTTACTTACTCATCATTAGACTTTATTGAAAGTACTAACTTGCTTATCTATCCACCCCACGACTGAGCCTCTTGAAAATTAGGATTGTCTTTAATCTCCCTTCCCAGCACGAGCTCTTGGTGTTTTTGTTCGAAGACGATATAGAGATCTTGTATTTCAAGCCCGACCTTTCCCTTGAGCTCCAGGCTTGCAGCCAACTACAGCCGTACACTCAGCATCTTAGATTCCGTCTGTCCAAAATGAACTGTTGTTCTGTTTGCTCTTCTGCCCTCCCTGAGATCCTTTCCCCCTTCTCTCCACCTGCCTTACCTATCACATTGTATCGTTACAGTTTTTCAGACGCAAACCAAGCCACTTCCTCAGTGTCTTCCTTTTTCTCCATTCTACATCCAGTTCATTAGCAAATCCTGTAAGTTACATCTCCAAACCATATTCCGAATTTGACTATTTCTCACCATTTCCGCAGCTCTGATCCCAGCACAGTTGTGCATCCTTTGCCTGCATCAGCCTCCTGATCACCTTCATTTCATTCCTTCTCCTTGGCAGGCCATCTCTCCAAGCATAAGTCAGGTCATTTTGCTTCTCTGCTTTAAAATCTTTAATTTTTTAAAAAAGATTTTAAAATATTTGTATTGTTTCATTTATTTACTTTCAATATTTCCTGATATATTTGGCTGCGCCGGGTCTTAGTTGCAGCACTAGGGATCTTTAGTTGCTACATGTGAATTCTTAGTTGCGGCAGGTCAGGGATCAGTTCCCTGACTAGGAATCAAACCCAGGCCCTGTACATTGGAAGTGTGGAGTCTTAGCCGGTGGACCACCAGGGAAGTACCCAAAACCTTCACTTACGAAAATAACAGCCTCTTATCTCTGAGGCCTGCATGATCTGGCTCCCACCCATCTCTCTAACCTTCCTTTCTGCCTCCTTCACCACACTCAAGCCAAGCTGGCCTTTGTGCTCCTCAGATTCACCAGCCTCATTTCTGTCTTAGGAAATTTGTTCTTGCTGTTTCTTCTGCCTGAAATATGTGTCTCCAGATTTTTGTCAGACTGTCATCTTACAGATAGATATCAGCTCAGATGTCACAGCTATTCTGTGACCACTCTTGCCACAGCAGGTGTTGACTGTGGACTGACTGAATGGAGTGGCTTGTGATATAGCAGAGTTGAGAATTTAAGGCTAAGATACACTCCATGCATGCTTAGTCGTGTCTGACTCTTGTGACTCTAAGGACGGTAACCCGCCAGGCTTCTCTGTCCATGGGACTCCAGGCCAGAATGCTGGAGTGGGTTGCCATTTCCTCATCCAGAAGATTCACTCTTTATCTCTAGGCAGAGAGGTCTGTAATGGGTTCCCTTCCTGAAATCTAGCAGATTCAGAGATACTGGGTTGTCACCTTTTATATACTAATGCAATTCTTCGGCAAGACAGTACACACTTGGGGGTCAGAATCCATTCTTAAAATGGAGATTTCATCCTGCCATGTGCCTTAGCCTGGAAGGACCTAGAGAATATTATGCCTGTTGCAGTCAGTCATAGAAAGACAAATGCTGTGTTATCATTTACATATGGAATTTTAAAAGAAATATAGATGAATGTATATACAGAACAGAAACAGGCTCACAAATATACAGAACCAAAAAGTGGGGGCTGGGGGGGAGTGGGACATGTAGGATGAAATAGGAGTGTGGGATTAAGAGATACTAACTACCACGTGTAAACTAGATGAGCAACAAGGATATATTGTACGGCAATGGAACGATCTTGGCCATTAGCTTCTAATAACTTATATAATCAATAAGAATACTGAATCACTGAAACTAATATATTGTAAAGCAATACTTCAACTTTTAAAAAATTTGATTTTGCACACGTGTTAGCCTTTTTATTCCTTTCATTTCTGAGTGCTGTGAACTTGTTAACTCTAGTTATAAATCTCACTTAACTCCTTCTCCCTGCCTCTTAACAGCATTCAACATGAACTGGCATCAAAGTTTACTTCTTTAACAAAAGTACTTTATGACTTTAATAAAGTACTAGAGAATGACAGGAAACATGGGAGTCCTTTAGAAAAATTGATGATAAAAAATTTCGATGATGAGCAGATTTGGCAACAATTGGAACTGCAAAATGAACCAATTTTACAGCACTTCCAGAGTGCAGTTAGTGAAACCATTGAAGATGAAGACATCAGTCTTCTTCCAGAGAGTGAAGAGCAGGAGTGTGAAGAGGATGTGATGGAGCTGGAGGCTCTTGGCCAGGAGGACCTGGAACAAGATTTAGAGGAGGAAGAGGAGGAGGAAGTGTCAGACGTGAGTGCTGATGATCCTGAAGCAGATCAGAGAGCCCCAAACTCAAGCAAATTGGATCTGAGGAAAAGCCCAGATTTCAGTGATGAGAACTCTGATCTTGATTTTGATATCAGCAAACTGGAACGTCAGAGCAAGGTGCAAAGCAGAGTGCCTAGGAAACCAACAGAAAAGTCGATAGTAGATGATAAATTCTTCAAGCTCTCTGAGATGGAGACCTTTTTAGAGAACATGGAAAAGGAAGAGGAACACAGAGAAGACCAAGAGGAAGATGATGTTGATTTTTTTGAAGATGTGGATTCCGATGAAGATGAAGGACTGTTTGGAGGCCAAGATCTTAAGGTAAAGTTCGGGGAGAGGACAGAGTGTTCTTTCTGCCTCATCACATGAGATGGGGTTCTATTTCTCCAGAAGAGGGTTACAATACTTCAAAATTCACCAGGGGATCAGTGAAATATTGAGATCAGGTTAAAAAAAGGGCGGGGGGGGGGGTGGGGACTGGAGAAATTAAACCAAAGCTGTCATTTCCTTATCATGAGACACTCCTTTGTAGCTTCAGAACCACAGTCACACATGTTACGGAGATTCAGAATTTTCCCTCAAACATGGATTTTCACCAAGCACTAAGAATAAGAACGAAAGAAGATATTTGTATACTTTATGTAGTCAGGGATGTTTTGGAAATACTTGTAGTTAGAAGATTTGGAGAGAAGAATGTGGTGCTCTGTCTTATCAGTTATAAATGAATGTGTGCTTCCGTTCAGTTGCTGTGTTCTAATAGTTCTTCGGGTTTTGTAGTAGTGTTATTAGTTGCCAACTTCCCCTACACAGTATGCATACACATTTATGCATGATTTAATGTATTTTTCTATCCTTGATTAAAGGTTTTAAAAGTATTTTTGTTTTAGTCAGGTAAAAGTTCCAGAAACCTGAAATACAAAGATTTCTTTGATCCAGTTGAAAGTGATGAAGACGTAGCAGGTGTCCACGATGATGGGAATGAACTGGCTTCAAATGAAGAGGAAGAGATTGCTGAAGGAGAAGAAAGCATTTCTGAAACGTGAGTATTTTGAGTCCTTTACACTGTAAGCTGGAGCTGCCCAGTCATCTGTGTACTACTAGTCGTCAGATGTGATTGTCCTAAGAAGTGGGATTCTCTAAGGTCAGACAGTCTCAGAATAGCCAGAGGAGTCACCAAATTTGAAGGGATGTCAGAGACGGCCTAGTGCAAATCAGCCTGACTGGCAGTAGCAGGCAGACCTTCCTTACCAGGAGCTCTGATTTGTTTTCTGTGCCAATAAAAATACCCTGTTGTTACTTAGGTGAGATAAGTCTATATTATAGATCGATGAATAATTTGTTTTCTATATATTGGACACTTTATTCTATTTTACCTAAATACTGGAAGTTCTGAATATTTAATTGCATTGTCTACAAAAGAAGTTTAACTGCTAAGTTTGTTTCTTTTTGATTTTCTAATGAAAACTGGTATGTTTCCTTTCATAAGTGTTTTGGTCTTACAGGGATGAAGATGATGACCTCGAAGAAAGTGGAGACAGTAAACAACATAAAGAAACCTCGAAAAGAGTGACCTTTGCTGTGCCCAATGATGAGGACACTGAAGATAAAAACGTCTTAAATGTACAGAAAGACTCTGATGAAGTCAAGTCCTCTTTTGAAAAAAGACAAGAAAAGGTAATAATTAGGAAATTTAAGGGATTTTTAAATTATGTTTAACAGTGACTGTCGAACTCAGACTACTGACTAATCTTCCCTGGTTTTGTGTGTGTGTGTATGGCAGGGGGCTTGTTTTTCCCGATGGTACACCTAATTATCCTTTAAAAAAAAAAATCTTGTTGCTCTCTGTGGCAGTGTATAGAGATAACCATATGGGAAGCAGCTAATTTACAAAATTCAGTGCTGCATTTCCGAACCTGTGGCTTTCAGTATGGAGCCCATGTATAAAACTTGTTTCTCTGTCCTTGCTGTCTTTATACCTGAGACAGGTTTTTTCCTAACTGGCTGTCCTATGAGGCTCTCCTGGTAACCGCTTCAATTGCTTGTATCTGTGAGGTGCCATGCAGCCAGAATTCTAATTAATACCATCTCAAACACATTTTCCAAAGTTGATAAAAAATTATTCCCTTATGACAAGCTGTCAGACAAAATGTTGTTTGAAAATAATAGATATAGCCTGGCTCCAGACATTGGGCTTTATCATTTAACTGTCTTAAAATTATATCACACAACTTGAAATGAGAATAAGTAAATAACCAAAGATACCAAGGATATCAAGAGCATTATTTTAAGAAGAGAATCTGAGTTAAATCTATGATTATTAGATTGTTCCCTGAAGAGAAAGTCTTTAAGGAAAAAAAGTGAAAGAAAATGAGAAACTTGTCCTTGAGTTGGTGACCTTCCCTCCTTACACTGCCACCAAAAAAAAAAAAAGTGGGTTTGGTTTACTGGGGAATTGTATCAGGCCTTCAAGAAGTGGATAATTTAGTACTGTTTGATCAGTTCCCACATATGAAGAGTAAAGCTTCCAAATTGTCTTCTTGTGAAGCTATGATTACACGAATACCCAAACCTGACATGTAACATTGAAACACGCACAGTCTTACTTGTGAATAGTGATGTGGAAATGCAAAAAAGTAACGCTACCATAGCTGTGTGGGCCTTGTCCTCTTGATTCGGGATTAGGAAATCTATTCATTTAACTTAATACTTGTTACGGTAGGTTAAGGAGAAAAATCATATAGTCACCTCCATATGTGTCAAAAAAAGACATTGAGTAAAATTCAATATTCATTCCTAATGTTTTTTCACTTCTAGCGAAATATAAGTGTATCTAGTCCAAATCTGCCATCCTGCTTAATGGTGGAATTCTAGAAAGATCCCTTTAAAATCAAGAATAAGACTTATTTCCATTACCACTGTTACTATTTCCACTGTTACTTAAGATTCTCACAGACGTGTTACTCATCCAGGGCAGCTATGAAAGAAAACACTCGTAAGAGATGAGAAAACTGAAATGAAAGCTTTCATATTTGGAGAGAGAACTAGAAAAACCAAGCAGGTGAACTGGAAAGCTATTAGGAAAAATAATTTGGTGAGGTTGCTGAAAATGCTGTCATCTTATACACCATGAAGTCATTATAGATGCCACCTCTTTAGACATTAGAGATAACTTGGATTGTGGGTGTGGATCAAGGAGGTAGTATGTATGTGCTCAGTCGTGTGTGACTCTTCTGCCACCCCATGGACTACAGCCCACCAGGCTCCTGTGTTCATGGCATTTACCAGGCAAGAATGCTGGAGTGGGTTACCATTTCCTCCTCCAGGGGATCTTCTCAAGCCAGGGACTGACAGGTGGGTTCTTGACCACTGAGCCACCTGGGAAGCCTGGAGTAAGAAGGGTCAGGCTCCATCAGATACTGATGCTCTAATAAAAAATTACTTAGTCTTGGAATGCTCTAATAATTAAGTTGATAGTGGTTTGTGAATAAATAAAATAGGTCAGTTTCACTAGAATAGAACCCAGAAATACACCCAAATGCTTCTGGGAGAGGTGAGTAAATAGTAAGCATAACATTTCAAACAAGTGCGGGAAAGGTCATTTACAGCTCCTTATCCTATCTCCAGATAGGAGTAGAAATCACTACTGCCATCCTTAAAAAAATGCAAAGACAAAGCAGGATTTTATTCAGGAACAATGCATTTCTTGCTCTCCCACTAGTAAAAATATTAGTTGCTTTTACTCACCTGTATGTCTAATTCTGTTTCCAAATGTGTGGTAACTCTTTCTGTTTCTCAGATGAATGAAAAAATTGCATCTTTGGAAAAAGAGTTGTTGGAGAAGAAACCTTGGCAGCTTCAAGGAGAAGTGACAGCGCAGAAGCGGCCCGAGAACAGCCTCCTGGAAGAGACCCTGCACTTTGACCACGCCGTGCGCATGGGTGCGTGTGCCCTCTGGGCTTCCACAGGTGTTCACGTACCCTTTTCGGTGGTTTTCATATATTTGGAGTAATATTTTTTTCCCCCAAACTTTTTATTTTAAAAACTTGCAAACATACAGAAAAGTTGCAGACGAGTACAGTGGTCAGATGTGTGCTGTTCTCCTGTGTTTGCTGATTGTTAACCTTTGGCCGTGTTTGCTTTCTCCCCTTGTTTATGTGTGGCTGTGTGTGTGTGCCTTTTTTCCCCTGAGTCATTTGAAAGTAAGTACCCAGGATCATGACACTTTGGTCCCGAGAACTAGAACATTCTCCTGTACAGCCACAACGCCACTAATCCATCCAAGAATTACTACTGTACTGGTCATGCCTAATGTGTCACCCATAATTAGAGTCCTGCTACTAATCTGTTTACAGTGCCTGCTGTTACTGTCCAGTGATTAAATTGTGACTTCAGCCAAAATCCCAGACCATCTCATTGAATTCTTTCTTGTACCCATTATGTCAGAATGAATTTTCATTGTATTTAGTGCATAAAGGAGTGCATACCCAGGTGCACAGGTTAAAAGTGTTAGCATTTACCACTGTGTGTACTTTGTAGCTTTGTGGTTCTCAAATTGCAGGGAGCACCAAAAAGGTTAGCTAACACACACATTAGTATCCCTTTTCCCCCATTTCTGATATGGGAGGTGTGGGGTGGCCCAAGAATTCACAAAATCACGGGTTCATTACTGTCTACCTAAAAATACATGTTCTGTATCCTATAGCACCTGTGATCACAGAGGAGACCACTCTCCAACTAGAGGATATCATTAAGCAGAGGATAAGAGATCAGGTCAGTAAGAATGAAATTTAACTTAATTCAAAGTTCACTGACATATTTAGAAATAGAATATTTTGGGAGTAGGAATAGCCCTCTCTTTTCCTAGAATATTTGTTCCTATCAAGTTTTTGTTTAAAAGCCCTAAGTCTACCCCAAAGGTATCCTTGACCTTTGTTGTGTGAGGTACTGTCCTTGCTAGCACCCTAGAAAGAAGGGTGTTCTTCCTGAGGAGAACAAAGTAGCCAGAGCCCCTGCCATCCCCCACAACCCCCCAGCCTTGCTGACCTTTCATGTGGGGTGGGATGAAGCTCTGGAGGGCGACTGGGGTCTGGCTTGACATGCTCACACCCAGGACCCTTGGTCCAGGCACCGTGTCTAGTGTGACATATGAAGGGTCTAGTTTTCAAGTGTGTAAAACCTACCAAAGAGTTTTTGTGTAAAAACTGATCTTATTTTGTAAACTTAGAGTAAAACTTGGGTATGGGGCATGTATAGCAAGAGATGACTTTGTAAGATGTGTATGCTTACAATAGGAAGGGTTTGAGGGATGGGTATGATACACAGAGGATCTTTTCATTTGAAATGAAGCAAACTCTTGTCTTGGCTGTTGGACAAACCACCACGGGGAGCTGTGGAATTCAAATTGGTAACCAGCATTTAAAACAAAAAAGGACACTTGAGTGATGCCCTCTCTGCTTTGAGAAGATGCCTCCCTTTTGGCTGCAGTTTGCTTTCTCTGTAATGATAATCGATATTCCAGAGGAAGAGGCCTAAGGGACCCTAGAAAGAAGTTACAGATTTTGTCTGTCAATTTATGTTCCATGTGCCTTTCCTGTTTCAGGCTTGGGATGATGTCGTACGCAAAGAAAAGCCTAAAGAGGATGCATTTGAGTATAAAAAGCGTTTAACACTGGACCACGAGAAGAGTAAATTGAGCCTTGCTGAAATTTACGAACAGGAGTACATCAGACTCAACCAGGTGAGGAGACAATTGTGGCAAAGCCATTGCCACTCAGGGAGGAGATGTAGAGAACGAGTTCTGTGGATTCTACCTACTGCTCAAGAGGTGAGAGACAGAAGTCCTGACCTGGGGTCACACTGTGTAGTGTGAGGCAGCGTGGCTATAGGAGCAGAGGGGCTGTAGTGCTCCCACAGAGTATCACTGGCTAGGGGTATTTTGCAGTCACTCTTGGTCTCCTGGTACTCTCACAGCTAATTATTAACTTTCCAGCAATTATTACAGCTGAATAATACTCTGTTATATGTGTGCCACAATTTACAGATCCAGTTTCAACAGTTGATGAGTATTTGGGCTGTTTATGCCTTTTGTGAATAGTGTATCCGTGGACATACATGTATATGTACTTAAATAAGTGTATGAATACCTGCTTTAATTCTCTCGGGCATATACGTAAAAGTGGAGCTGCCAGGTCCTATGGTGATGCTCTGTTTAACTTCTGGAGGCACAGCCAGACGTGTTCCTACTGTGACTGCACCATTTTACATTCCCACCAACAATGCCTAACTATTAAGGGCACTAAATTGTAAGTTCTAAATGTTAGCAGTTCAGTTGTGACAGTGACCTTACCTTGGGAAGTGTCTTTGGAGCTGAAGCCTGATGACGAGAAACTGGTGATGCTCTCATGGTCCTTGAGTGTTCTGTCCTGTGTCGCCGCTTTAGTCTGATGATGTTGAACTGATTTCCTCAGCAAAAAACAGCAGAGGAAGAAAATCCAGAGCATGTAGAAATCCAGAAGATGATGGACTCCCTCTTCTTAAAGTTGGATGCGCTCTCAAACTTCCACTTCATCCCCAAGCCAGTAAGTGTGTGACATCTCGGGGAGTAGATGACAGATGAGAGACTCGCTGTTTGGTTGGGTTCAGAATGCACACCTGCAGGGTTTCCCATGAACCACAAGTTGGGCCTCCCATGTGGAAGCCTCGTGTCTGGTCCCAGGATGAATCTGGGCCCCCTAGCTGGTCTAGCCTGACTTCCATCTCCTTGGCGGTCCCTGCCAGACCCTCAGCCTTAGCCACAGGCTCTCCTCCTTTCCCACCCTTTTTCCCTGTCTGGTCTCTGGTTGTGTTTTCACTGTGTGATGGACTTGGGGTCTGGGTGGTGTCTGTACCTGGCATTTATCAGTGCCTGCTACCTGTCGGGTTAGATCCTTCATGTCCACTAGCTCAGCCAACAGACCTCACATCTCACATCTTAAATAATCTCCATGAAGTATGTTATACTTCTTTAGGTTCACTATTTAAGTGTTTTACATGAGGACCACTTCTGACTTCCTATCAAATGTGTTGTCTTTTTTCTAGCCTGTTCCAGAGATTAAAGTGGTATCAAATCTGCCCGCTGTCACCATGGAGGAGGTTGCCCCCGTGAGTGTCAGTGACGCAGCCCTCCTGGCCCCAGAGGAGGTCAAGGTGAGAAGCCAGTATCGAAGTGTCTGTTTATAAATTGGTCGTTTATAGTCAGATCTCCATTTAACATCGTTTTCTCTGAGCTTGTAGTGTTTATTCTAACATATCTCAGCAGCTCCCACCTATAATCAAATTAGTGATATTATAGAATATTCAAATACAAGTTTTCTATAATCAGGTGTTATTATGAGATGTAGGTTTGAGAAATATTGTAAATGCTGATTGCAAATATCTAGCATCAGTATCTTGTTATAATTCAGGTTGAATATTAGAAGTTTGAGGTTGTTAGATGTTAGCTAAGATGTTAGACTTGAGACAAACTGCATGTATTTAGCCGTGCTTTGATATTAGCATTTCCCCCTTTTGCTGTATCCACGTGAGGCTTATCAGTCCTGGAATCACGGTCTAGAAAGAGTGGGGGGGGTCTATGAAGAGCTGGACATAGCACACACAGGACACCCCTGCCTTGTGTACTTGGGAGCCCTCGCCTGGCACAGGGGTGGTGGTTTCTGCCAGGAGGACTGATTTTTGTCAGGGCCTCATCCCCCTTGCAGCCTGGCAGCAGAGCCTCCATTTTTGTGCTCACTTGCTTTGCTCCACCGACACCCACCCTTCAGAGCCTCTGCCTACCACCTTAGGCTGGGCTGGAGTGGAGGAGAAAAGGGAGGAAGTGGACCTTCACCAGCTAGATTTCCCGCCCTCAGTGGCTCAGAGCTGGGCAGCCTAGGCAGGTCCCTGGAGCCCAGGATGGGGTCTGCCTGCTTCTCCAAGAGGGGAAGCCTGACACCCATGCTTTCCAGGTCACCTTCATGAAGGAGTATGCAGACTGAACTGTCACCGTCAGAGCACACGTCATGGGTCTTACAGTGCCTCCCGGGTCTTATAGCGCTTCCCAGTTCTTACATCGCTGAGTGGCCAGAGCCCCTCAGAGCCCGGGTGGGGTCGGGATGCTTCTCACACTTGGGCCACAGTCCATGCAGTTGCTTCTCTTACAGCTTCCGAAGTCATTATGTTAGATTAATGAGTGTGTTGGTGGTGGTTTTTCAATAGGAAAAAAATAAAGCTGGAGATATAAAAACAACTGCTGAGAAAACAGCTACAGATAAGAAACGAGAAAGGAGAAAAAAGAAATATCAAAAGCATTTGAAAATAAAGGAGAAAGAAAAGCGGAGAAGACTTCTTGAAAAGAATAACCCAGACCAGGCAGGGAGATATACCAAAGCCGTAGCCTCTGAAAAGCTGAAACAGCTGACCAAGACGGGCAAAGCCTCTCTGCTAAAGGTGAGGATGGGGGAGAGGTGTCGGGGCTTGAATACAGGGCTTATGGCACACTTTAGGTGACCTGGGCATCTAGTGACCAAGCCCACCCACAAAGGGGAGGGGAGGGGAGAGGCCGTGGGCACTGGCTGTGTTATAGCCTAAACCTTGGGTTTCAAGTGCAGGGGCTCATAGTCACTGACGTTATGAGACCACTGTAGTCGTTTAAAATGTGTATAATACTTCTGCTCTAATTGACACAGGCTGTCATAATTCTTCTGTCTAGTTCTTTTCCACATTTACACCGTGATACCCTGTTGTAATCATTTGGTTTTGTTCATCTTTAAGCGTAATACCTTACAGCATGACTTTGTGTTATTTCTAATTGCAGGATGAAGGTAAAGACAAAGCCTTAAAATCATCTCAGGCATTCTTTTCTAAATTACAAGATCAAGTGAAAATGCAAATCAGCAATGCAAAGAAAACTGAGAAGAAAAAGAAGAAAAGCCAGGATATATCGGTTCATAAATTAAAGCTGTAATATATTTTGCATATAATGTAAATACTATTTACATGTGTAAGCTTATATTCTGTCATGGTTCAGTTTTGTAATAAAATTTTTGAGAACTTTTCTTCACACAGACTACAGATGTTTGAGAATAGCAAGCCTTCCTCTGGGTGTGTGTGGAGACCTCTCTTCCCAGCGCCCCCCTACAGTAGGCCTGGCCAGGGAAGGGGCCAGTCTGCAGGCTTAGACCCCACCCCCCTTCCCTGTCACAGCCAGCTGCCCACAGAGGTCCTCACGTGTCTTTAGGGGGCCTTGGTTCTCTTCTCCCACTGCCCTGCCATCCTTCCACAGGACAGTGGGGTTTCCATCCATGTATCTTACATCCTCCCTGGGAAGTGATCTCGTGTTGCATGAGCAGAGGCTTGTGAAGGCTGGGGAGCCCCATCCCCATTCAGGTGGGAGGAGGCAGGTGACGTGGCTAGAAGAGAAGAAGTGAGTGTGTTGGGAGGGCAGACCGGTGGCCCTTGGAACCTTCCATGACCACCATGGTGCTCCCTGTCTTGACCTCCCAGCCAAGGAAGACTGTCTTTCATCTATTAGGGCCTCACATTACCCTTTTGGGAGTAGAGGATGAGAACAAAGCTGACGCTGAAGCAGCAATGGGCAGTGTGGGAGGGCTCCTTTTTCTCCATACCCTTTGCAGCGTTTGTTTAGTAACAACACTCTTAACCCCACCTACACGCTCAGTTTTGCCTCACCTCTCTGCTCTCCTTCACGACTAAACCTCTTGAAAGAGCCATCTAGATTTTTTGCTGTTGAGGAAACACTTTTCCTCTACCCTCTTAGGTTTAGTCCCTGAGAGCTGTGAATTAAACTGACAATAGAAAAAAATAAAATAAACTGACAATAGAAGACAGATTAACAGGAGAAAGTATTCATGTATTGTAGTTTTACAAAAGAGGCAGCTGGGTAAATGGTTAGAGGTTTATCCACCTAACTTGTCAGGGAAAAGAAAAGCAGGTAGATGTCTAGAACAAATGGGAGATAAGTTTGTGATAATGTTTGCAAATTCAGGTGCCAGGGGTCTTTCCATCTTCATAGCCATAAAATGCCCCCAGAGAGGGAATTTATGGGAGGTTTACTCTTGGTCTCCTTCCTGGTAGGAAAAGCTGCCCTAAAGAGGGAATTCCTGGCAGCCTCCTTCCCCTCTGACAACTGTTTCACCTGTTAGAGGTCAAGGCACAATTACATATGGTTTTGAGACACAGATCTGTACATTAAATGCTGTATTATTGACAGTTTACACATCTAGATTTATGCATGAGAGGGAAGTGGGTCATGGACCATCACTATTGGGAAGGAAGCTTATCTCCTAAGGACTTGTGACCCTTGATAAGATTAAAAAGGAGGTCTGATTAATGCTGATAACAGAACACACAACACTAATGCAGACGCCCAAACTGGGAAAGACGTGTTTAAATTTTTCTCACCTTGCCATAAAACAGGAATTTCATTTAATCTGTACTTGCCTTTTAAACTGTCTATAATTTACATATATTTTTGTTTTTTTTCTATCTTCCTTCATCAGAATGTATTCGCCACAAAGGCAGGATTTTTTCCCCCTCATTTCTGCATTCTTTGTTCTGTTCACAGCACCAAGGACTTTACCAGGCATGAGGTTGGCACTCAATGCATATTTGTCAGTGAATTCCCTGTTCACGTCCCTTTTCTCTTTGGTTTGTTCATTTATTCATGCAATCATTCAGCACACATTTATGGAGTAATCACACAGTGCTGGCTGCTGCTGTAGGCAGTGGTAAGGGACCACAGACAGGCGCCCCATCCTCAGAAAGTTTCCATTTGGGTCCCTTGGGGGTGTTGGAACCAGCTGACATCAGCACTCAGTTCAGTTCAGTTGCTCAGTCGTGTCCCGACTCTTTGAGACCCCTTGAACCACAGCACACCAGGCCTCTCTCCATCACCAACCGCCGGAGTCTACCCAAACCCATATCCATTGAGTCAGTGATGCCATCCAACCATCTCATCCTCTGTTGTCCCCTTCTCCTGCCCTCAATCTTTCCCAGCATCAGGGTCTTTTCAAATGAGTCAGCTCTTTGCATCAGATGGCCAAAGTATTGGAGTTTTAGCTTCAACATCATTCCTTCCAATGAACATCCAGGACTGATCTCCTTTAGGATGGACTGGATGGATCTCCTTGCAGTCCAAGGGACTCTCAGGAGTCTTCTCCAACACCACAGTTCAAAAGCATCAATTCTTCATCGCTCAGCTTTCTTTATAATTCAATTCTCACATCCACAAACCATAGCTTTGACTAGACGGAACTTTGTTGGCAAAGTAATGTCTACTGCTTTTTAATATGCTGTCTAGGTTGGTCATAACTTTCCTTCCAAGGAGTAAGCGTCTTTTAACTTCATGGCTGCAATCACCATCTGCAGTGATTTTGGAGCCCCCCCAAATAAAGTCAGCCACTGTTTCCCCATCTATTTGCCATGAAGTGATGGGACTGGATGCCATGATCTTAGTTTTCTGAATGTTGAGCTTTAAGCCAAATTTTTCACTCTCCTCTTTCACTTTCATCAAGAGGCTCTTTAGTTCTTCTTCACTTTCTGCCATAAGGGTAACTGCATAAGGATAATGTTAAATTATGTAACCTCATTAAACTATTAGCACTGAACTAATATTAAACTATTAGCACAAAGAAAAACTACATTTACAAACTACATTTTAATGTAAAAAATGTGCAAACTCATCATTCCCTATTACCTACAATACATTTATTCTTTTACCTTTTTTAATTGAAGTGCAGTTAATTTACAATATTTCAGGTGAACAGCAAAGTGATTCATAGATACAGATGTGTGTGTATGTGTGTGTGTGTGTGTGTGTGTGTGTGTGTACTTTTTCAGATTCTTGCCCACTGTAGGGTATCTCAAGATATTGAATATAGTTCCCTGTGCTACACAGTAGGTCCTTGTTGATCTACTAGTCTTTTGCTCTTGATGAGATGGGGTGCGTTCAGTTCAAGGTGGTATGGCCTTGGACTCCTGTGCTCCTGAGGTTTTGGAATCTCTTGCATCCGGCAGCAAACAGCATCTCTTCCAGGAACCTCAGCACACGCTTGCTGGCCAAGTGGAGTCTTGGCCTGTGTCTCCTCCCAGGAGGCGGCTTCCTTGGTCACCGAATGCTCGAGAACAGCAACTTGCCCACCTTCCCCCCCGCCCGCCTCCGCCAGGTTGTGAAAGACAGGAGGTGGGGAGTCTTGGCCAACCTACTCTGGCTCAGCCTCCCCGAACCGCCGGCTGCCTTTAAGGGGAGAGGAAAGGCCGATTGATTGCTCGAACCTCCGCTAGCCTAGCCTGTGACGGCCGAGTCCTCGGGAATCAGCTGGGAATGCCTGGCGCGCGTAGCCTGTTGGAGGCGCGGGGCTGTCTGGCCGGGGTTGGGGGCTGTGAGAGGAGAGGTGGCTGCTGGCGGCGGCAGGGCCAAAGGAGCGAGTTGGGGGAACAGAAGGAAGGGAGGGAGGAGGGCGGCCGGGCTGGCGGCGGAGTCCCAGGTGCACCTCCCAGGTGCGTATCCCAGGTGCGCACTCGATCCCAGGGGAGGGCTGGCCTGCCAGAGCTTTGGCCTCAGGAGATTCGGCGGCCGGAGCTGGAGCTGCAGGATCGCGGGGAGGCGGGGCGGGGGGGTGGACAGATGCCCGCGACTCCCGGCGGCGCTTCTCATTACAGGCCTGTGCGGGCGGGATAGGCGTGCTCTGCCCGGGAGGAGTTACTCGTGCGGCGGTTTTAAATGAAGACCTCGCGTAGTCAGAGGTCCCTTTTTAGGGTGGCTGATTTAGATCTTACAGAGGAGTCTTAGAACTTATCCTCGCGGCTGAGGGACACTCTGGGGTCGCGTGGACAGCCGGGCCTTGGGCTTTTCTTTCCAAGGCCAGGGCCTATTTAAGGCCCCATCCCGTGAAATACTATCGTTGATCGTTTCCCGCCTCTGGTGTTGAATTCATAAATATGTTCTTAATTCACATGTTTTGTTTCATAGGAAGAAGAAACTAAATGAGTAACATGAAGTCCAATAGGATCCCATTTTTTATGATTTCGAATCAGGGAAGTAAAAGTAAACCACTGATATCTTTCCCAGGTCTTACCTTGCGTTTTACTACTTGAAACAAACACCCAACTTTGATTTTTTTTCCTTGGCTGCCCGCTGGGGCATGCAGGGGACCCCAGTTCCCAGACCAGGGATCGAACCTGGGTCCCTTGCAGTGGAATTACAGAATCCCAACCACTGGACACCAGGGAAGTCCCCACCCAGCTTTCCTGATAATACTCATGATGTCTGTAGGCAAATCCTCAAAAAAGAGGCCTCGTACAAGTTTATCAAGCAGCAAAACTAAAAAAAATGAACCTAACTCTATTATTTCATTTTTTAACAATGCACCCCCTGCTAAACTTGCCTGCCCTATTTGTAGTAAGATGGTGCCAAGATATGACCTGAACCGGCACCTTGATGAAATGTGTGCTGACCACGACAACATGACTCCAGGTGGTCCTGGGCATGTCAGCTTAAGTTCAAACGTGCCCACCATAGATTTGACCAATATTGCCTTAGAAGATATAACTCCAGAGAAGTCGTCACCATCAACGATAGATTTAACCCCTGGCCAAAATGATTCAGAAAAAATGGGCAAAAAACAGCAGACCAGCCCCTACTTTAAAAGTAAAGGTGACTCGGTGTGCAGAAATCAAGAAGAGCTGAGACATCATAATGTAAAAGTCATTTCTCTGGGAAGCCTGTCCTCTAAATTGTCCAGAAGATACATAAAGGCTAAAAGATCCCTGAATCAGAATGAGGGGTTCACTAATCAGAGTCTGCAGAGGTCCTCATGCACAAGGGTTAAGAGCCTGGTTGATCAGCATTTGGAGGTGGAGGGCCAGGATCCACTTCTGGAGAACAGCTCTCAAAAGGAGAACATGTTTACTGGTGATTCTCAGGAGGAGCTGAGCACCCCAGCACATACAGTGGAAGGCACTAAGGTGGAGGAAGCTGAAGGCCAGACAGCTGCCCAGGAATGTGAGCAATCAACCCTAACGCCTGCCTGCACAGGTGATGTGCCTGTGTTTTCATCAGATTTAATTCTCGGGCATAGAAAGTCTGCTTCTAAGGACCATCTTGCAAAGCAGGAGAGTGTCAAAGGAGTAGATGGTGAAGTTACTGAAAAATGTGAGACAGGTCATTGTGAAGAGGTGAAAATGACTATTGTTTCAGAAGTGACAAATCAAGGCTCACATCAGGAGGCAAAACCTCCGAGTTCCACAGTTGGTGCTTCTATACAGACCAACAGCCAAACGCTTCCTCCAGAATCTGACAGTAGCTTAGAGGATAAAATCACTCATCAGATGCCTTTGGAGAAGAGGTCAAGCTGTGATGTGTCCTGGGTCACAAGTCCAGAACTGCCAGACCATCCTTACTACCTTCGGAGTTTCCTGGTGGTGCTGAAAGCCGTGTTTGAGAATGAAGAAGACAGGATGCTCTTTGATGAACATGAGAAGGGCATTGTAACTAAGTTTCATCAGTTATCAGGTATCTTGAGCCTGTTTGCTTTTGAGGCTTTGTTTGCCATTTGCTGCCCTGAGTTGGTCTGGGATGTGATGGGCAGAAAGCTAATGACCCCAAGGAGTCAGTGGTTTGGGGAGCCCCCTGGGAGTACTCAGGGGAATCAGAGCCAGTGATGGTGTTCAGCTCAACAACGATGTGCCTTTAAAAAGAGATAAGATTTGGGGCCAGGTGATGCCTGCTTCTGCACTGTCATCCTTATACACTGTACTTTGCTTGTAATGGAAGCAGTTGTTTGTCCTTTTTATGTATATTTGATGGTTGTAAAAACAGCCTTTCCCAGATTAGGGGAAAAAAAATAGTGTAACTTAGAAAAGTGTACCTTGCATTTCAAGCATGTAATCAAGCTTGCGGTTGTATTTGGTGGATTTGTTGTTTTTGCGGGCCATTTCCTCAAAAATGAAAATAAAATACAGGCAAATAAACTAAGGGGTACTGAGGCATATTTTTTTCCTCCAATAACACTTTAGTTGCCTGGGCTCTGCCTTTTAAAGTAAAGGTATGCAGGAAATGGAAGTTTTCAAGCTAAATTGATACATTAATTTTTTTTCTTTTTTGATTTTGTAAATTGGTACATTTAAAAACATACCTAAATTCCTTGGCAGCCAGCTATGTGGCTCAAAGCAAATGGTGCAGGTTTAGAGCAAGAGCTGTGCACTCCCTCCTGTCCCACTTCCACCCTCCATCAGCTGCTCATCCAAAGGACGTTGATGGCTATGTGCACATGAGTCCCTCTCAAGCAGGAGAAGCTTCCTTGGGGGCCATGCTGACCACTAGTAATAGTAGCAGGTCTGACTCCCAGTCCAGTTACAAAAAAGAAATCCTGAACGTTACCAATAACAGGTAAGAGAAGGAATTCAGTTTTACATTCACACAGTGGAACTGTGGCTCTGCTTGTGTGGGTGACACCCCATCGACTCTTGTATCCAGGGTGGTCACAGATCTTTGGTTGGCGTACGAGCGTTTATGAAAGTAGGTAGTAACCCTGGGCTGTGGTGTGATTGAGAAGTAGGAAGAGTTTCCTAGTGTAAGCTCTGCAGATTCTTATGGGCTGCCCTCCACAGAGAATCATCTTTAGTGTCTCTGTTGTGAAAATAGCTACTGTGAATCGATTTTGCCTCTTCCAAGAGAAAATGGAAATAACTGTAGAAAATTTAATAAATAAGGTAGTATCATTTTATTTTTCTAAATTTTTGGCCATACCATGCAGCATACAGGATCTTAGTTCCCTGACTAAAGATGAAATCAGTGCCTCCTGCATTGGGAGAGCAGAGTCCTAACCACTGGATGGCCAGGGAAGTCCCTAGACCACTCTAGATTTGGAAATTGAAAGATAGTTTGGGTAATAGGAAAACTTGAGACCAGGTTAATTAAATAGCTTCGTGGAGATCACTGAGTTAGAGATGGCTGCTCTACCAAAGCCAGACTTTTTTTAAAAAATCCTTTTCATATGATTTTCAGCCTAAACTAGAATATTGCGTATGAAACCAAAAACAGAATAGACTAACTGGAACTCTCGGTGAGGGGGCGGGGTGTGCCTCTCTTGAGGGACTAGAAATGTTGGTTAGAAAGTGAGGAACTTTCATCCTACCCTTTTATTTTTTATTATCTTTTTAAAGATATATATATATATATATATATATTTAAATAGATGATGTTAGTTCTCTGTTTAATTTTATTTATTTAATTTTGGCCGCACCACACAAGCATGTGGGGTCTTAGTTCCCTGACTAGGGACCCTGCAGTGGATGGGCGATTCTTAACCACTGGACAACCAAGGAAGTCCTTTAGGTTTTTAAGTGGCTAATAATCATTACCAACTTTGGAATGGTTTATTTACTTATCTTGTTTAATCTTTTCACCGGCTTTGGGAGGATGGTGTTACTGGCCCCCACTCCCACTTTTCATGACAGAAGAGAAGAGGGAGCCTTAGTTCCAAAGACTGTCACAAAGGCTTTGTGTCCTCTTGCTCCTCCTGTCCTGCACACAAGCCAAGGAGACATTCCCACAGGACTTTGTATTTGAAATAAGTTCTGTCTTCCAATGGAAAAAAATGATATTCTTGGAAGATTAGTTGAGTCAGCATATGTGCATTTGTAACAGCATGTTTTACTCACTTTGGTTTACAAAAGGAAGTGGTAGCAGAACTGAGGTGGTTTTTGAGAAGAAATAGAATGTTTTTCACTGATTATCTTAACTTTGTCACAGCCAATGGTCAGAAGTTATACATAAGACTTTTTCAACGTAAATTCGGCTGGATTAAGGTGAACAAGCTGGCCTATGAAGAGATCTCTGCTGACTTAACCCCTGTGGTTGGAGAGCTGACACATGCAGGCTTCCTGCAGACAGGTATGGTTCGTCCAGGGGAACCAAAGTGGAAACACCATGAAGGGAGTTTCTGCAAAATGAGGGTGGTGCTAGTTTCATGTCATTTCCTGATTGGTGCATGAGAAATAGTGATTGTGTGTGTCTTTTAAATTGTTTTTTTTTTTTAATTTATTTGGCTGTGTTGGGTCTTTGTTGTGGCATGTAAGATCTTTGTTCCCTGAAGAGGGATGAAACCCAGGCCACCTGCACTGGGAGCTCAGAGTTAACCACTGAACCACTAGGGAAATCCCTAAATTGAGTTCTTAATCTTAGGACAACAAATAAGCTTTCTTCTTAAAGTATCAATAAAACTGGAAAATAATAAACTTATTTAAAGTACTTTTTAAAAAAAAATAATTTCAGAATCTGAGTTGCAGGAGCTCCCTGAGGTGCTGGAGCTCCTTTCTGCTCCGGAACTGAAAGCCCTGGCAAAGACCTTCCACCTGGCGAGTGCCCATGGACAGAAGCAGCAGCTGGTGGACGCGTTCCTCAGATTGGCCAAGCAGCCTTCAGTCTGTACTTGGGGCCGGAACCAGCCTGGCATTGGCGCAGTGATCCTGAAAAGGTTTTGTGGCTCTTTTTTTTTAATCATTTTATTTATTTATTAACACAAAAAACATTTTGCGTTGAGGTGTGGTCAGTTAACAATGTTGTGGTGGTTTCAGGTGGAACAGGGAAGGAACTTGTTACAGTAAGAACTTTTGAGTTGTTGGTTGGGCTTCCGTGGCGGCTCAGTGGTAAAGAATCTGCCTGCAACGCAAGAGACCTGGGTTCCATCCCTGGGTCAGGAAGATCTTCTAGAGAAGGAAATGGCAAATCACTCCAGTATTCATACCTGGAGAATTCCGTGGATAGAGGAGTCTGGCAGGCTACAGTCCATAGGGGTCACAAAGAGCTGGACATGACTGAACTACTAACACACACACACACAGCACATACTAAGGTCTTAAAATAGATGGTACGTGTTTCCAGATTGTGATTGTTTTTGCAATTGCTGCCAGACTGAAAAGGCAGAGAACCTTAATGATCAGGTCTGGATTCTTTCTTGGGTTAGCTTTCATAATTCTTGTCATACCACACTGATTTCTAGGACAAGAAAAACCAAGAGGCAAGAGGTTAGAGGCACTGGGCCGTTAGCATATTCTAGTGTTTTATTACTCAAGAAAAATGCAGTTTTAACTACTCTCCTAAACAAGATTTAAACATGAATTATCCAGCCAAATTTTTATTTCAGACATTTTATTGAAACATGATCTGTCAGCAATAATATGCAATTTCTCTTGAGTTGAAAGATTAAAATTTTCCAAAAGCTGTGTGGATGGTTTCTTTTGTCCTTATAAAAGCTCCTGAACAGTTTCAGGTTAGGAAAGATCATAAAAATCTCAGAATTTATTTCTTCTGCCCATGTTATGTCTAAAGTATAACTATATCAACCTTAGTCTGGAAATCCACTTTCCAGAGTTGTTGAAAATGAGATGAGATAATGCTTTTGGCAAACAGTTTAAAGCAACGTCATTGTTATTTTATATAATATGTGTGTGTGTGTGTGTGTGTGTGTGTGTGTAACTTTGAGCTGTTAACGTGCCAAGAGCCATCCTTATTGGGAAGATACTACAAATATTAATCTTAGTAAAACACAGGCATAAATAAGGCATACATTATTAAGAAAAATGTCACTGTCAACATTTCAAAAAGTTTATACTGTAGATTTTCCAAAGGTATTTAACTAGATTATGTATTTATACATAATTAATTAAGGGGTATAAGATCCTCATCCCTGTGGTTAAATGTCTTCTAAGTCTTTAATTTTATTTCTTAAGTATTTCATGGTATTCATGTGTGTAATATTTTAAAAGTAAGTGAACACTAAATTAGCTGTTTCTCAGTGTAAGAACTGAGCATGTAGGAACAGAAATAGAATTAAGATGAACATTTTTTATCACATGAGAATTATAGAGAAATGAGAATCTTAAGACCATGTTTTACATGTATAACTTTATTTATTTACTTTTGGCTAACTGGGTCTCCGTTGCTGTGCAGACTTCTCTCTGGTGCGGTGAGCGGGGCTGCCCTAATTGTGATGTGAGGGCTCCTCACTTCAGTGGCTTCTCCTGCCGTGGAGCACAGGCTCAGTAGTTAATGGCGGATGGGCTTAGCTGCTTTGTGGCATGTAGGATCTTCTGAAGCAGGGATCCAACCTGTGTCTCCTTCATTGGCAGGCAAATTCTTAACCACAGAGCCACCAGGGAAGCCTGTTAAGAGTATTCTAGTTTTTTACTAGAATCACTATCCTTAAAATTTTTTTTTGATTGACGTATAGTTGACATATTAGTTTCAGGTGTGCAGCATAGTGAGTCAGTATTTGTACAGATTATACTCCATTTAAATTTATTACAAAATGATGACTGTATTTCCCTGTGCTGTGCAGTACATCCTTGTTGCTTATCTATTTCTTACAGGGTAGTTCATCTCTCTTACTCTTCTACCTGTCTCACCTCTCCCTGCTTCCTTCTCCTTGCTGGTAACCACTAGTTTATTTTTTCTAGCTGTGAATATATTTTTCTTTTGTTATATGCATTCATTTGTTTTGTTTTTGAGAGTCCACAAAGAAGTGATAACATGTAGTATTTGTCTTTGGCTTATTTCACTAAGGGTAATACTCTCTAGATCCCTCCACATTGTTGCAAATGGAAGAATTTCTTTTTTATGGCTAATACTCCATTACATAGCACACCTTTATCACTTTGTCTGTTGACAGATAGTGTCCTTTATTTCTTCATTAAGCTGTGGAGCCCAGGAGTGAAACCTGAGCTTCTGACAGCTCCACATGAAGGTAATACCTGGTTACCTTCCTCTGCAGAAAAAGCCTCCTTATTCGCACTCTCTGAATCCTTCTGTGTGTTTAGTCACGCTGAATGTTTCCTTCTGCAACTTGGAGTCCCGGGCCACTGGACACGCTTGGGACTGCGTGGGGAGGAAGGCTGGGGGTGCTGTCAGGCTCTGTGGCTGTGTGATCCTCATGTAGATGGTGGTGAGGTGGGAACCCTACCCCTGTGTCTTCAAGACTGTGCTGGGGGCATTGATCTCTGCACGCCCCAGGGAGTTAGCTCTGCCTTTGGTTTCATAGCTTCTAGGCTGGTAGGAAGGTTGAGGTCCTCCACTGGACTCCAGCTCTCACTGGGGGACCTTGACCTCCAGGCACGCCTGGTATCATCTGGAGGCATTCTCATTGTGACTGAGGTGGGTAGTGGGTGCCACTGACATTTAGTGAGTGGAGGCTAGGGACACAGCTGAGCATTGTCTAATGCCCAGATGTCAATAGAGAAACCCTGTCATGCATGGTGTCCAGGTTGTTAGAGCCAGAAGGCCCTGGTTATGACCTGCTGCCTGACCAAGGGCCCTTGACAATGACTTTCTAAATAAATACCTGTGGGGCTTCCCTGGTGACTCAGTGGTAAAGAATCCATCTGCCAGTGTAGGAGATATGGTTTTGATACCTGGTCTGGGAGGATCCCACATGCTGCCAGCAACTAAGCCCATGTGCCACAACTACTGAACCTGTGCTCTAGAGCCCAGGAGCTGCAACTACTGAGCCCACTCACCCTCGAGCCTGTGCCCCCCAATAAGAGAAGCCACTGTAATGAGAAGCCTGTGTACCACAACTCGAGATTAGCCCCCACTTGCTGCAACTAGAGAAAAGCCTGCACACAGCAACAAAGACCCAGCACCGCCATAAATAAATAAAGTTATCTTAAATAAATGAATATCTCTTATTTAATCTAAATTGTCACTGGAGTTAAGAATTGAGAGTTGCTAATGTCAAACAGGTAACACTTTGAGTTTCTCTGGTATTTCATGTGTTCAGGACCAGCATAAACCTTATTCTGCTCTTTTATTGAGGCAAACACTATGTGAAATCATCTGCAGGTTTAATTCATCGAATCTTCACTGTGTTCCAAGGTAGGGCTCTGAGCTCCAGAGAGGTTAACAAATGTTTTAACATCACACAGCCAGAGGCCAGAGGTTTGCTTCAAGCTTAGAATAGTGAATACTGTTTAGCTTGAAATAATCTATGAAACCTGATGTCCAAATGCTTACAGACCAGCAAGTCTCTTCCATATTGTGTATAGAGCTAAAGATGTGGCGGGACGTTCCCTGAGAGTCTCTCGAGGCCCTCGGGCAGTATTTTCCCGGGCCCTGCTGCTCTTCTCCTTGAGCGACATGATGGAAGATGAGGAGGCCGCCTGTGGGGGCCAGGGTCAGCTCTCCACTGTGCTGCTGGTCAACCTGGGCCGCTTGGAGTTCCCCAGGTACACCATCAATCGGAAGACCCCGATCTTCCAGGACAGGGATGATCTCATTAGGTAAGAGAGTGGTTGCTCACTGTAACATCTGTGCGTTTTTAAATTTATGCAGAAGGATCTATTATTGTTTTTTGCCATCCACAAGAGAAACATCTGCTCAAAATCATTTTTTAAGTTTTTGCTTCCTGTTTAGTTTTTTGCTTACTTATATACTTTTCCAGAACTGTGAGGAGAATGTAGAAATGCAGTTTGATTCAGGTTGCCAAAACCCACGAGTTTTGAGTTAGAGCTACACAGTTTTCCCCCGGTTTATATTCCCAAATAGCTTTGGCAGGGGGAGCATTTTTTAAATATAGACATTTGAACAAACCTGCCTTGTGAGTATGTTGTTGGCATGAACAAGGCTGAATATCTTCCGGGTAATGATGCTTAAAATAAAGCTAATAACTAACTTGTGGACCATGTACCAGAATCATGCAGACAATAGAAGTTTTCATGAATCTGTCTTGATGCATGGATTTAGCCAGTGTTTAGCAAAAGTGGATTTTGATTAAAAAAAAAAAATTGCATAGATGTTGCAGGTTTATGATTCAAAGTTAGCTGAAATGGTTTCTGATATTTGATTTTAGGAAAGATGTTTAAGTGTTGTCTAGTATGTGCTTTAAAAAACAAGCTATTGAAATGATTGGATCAAAACAGAGTCAATGTAAACTGATTTTAGCCCATTTTGCCTTAGTTATTAGGATGGTCAATATCTTATTTGTATTCAGTAGGAATAACTTTTTCAGTCAGATCTTCTAGTTAGAGTGCTTTCTCCAATTCCATTTTTCATTGCCTTAGAGCTGTCCAGTTGAGTATTAAAAGAGAGCTAGATGGAAGCGTGCGTGAGCAAATTTTTACACTTGGGGGACTGTTTTTCTCTTATTTGACAGTTTCTGCACACAGTGCTGGTGTGTGCTTTTCTCTCGAGGGTGAGTCCAGAGCACAGTGACTGTGCAGATGGACAGTAACTGTCCTGTAACTGACTGTAACTTAGTGTTACAGAACTATGGGGCCCATGTCTTTGCTTTGGTATCTAAAGACATGCTGAGAAGCTGTCTCTCTTCAGTTACATGGGTTTAGAACATCTCAGCATTGCCATCTCTCAGATTCTGTCCCTGAAGTTGTTTTTGAAAAGCCCAAATAATTCTCTTTGCTTGGGCAGTATCTCTCTGGCCATCTCTGACTTAGTGATTAAATGACCAAACCTACACTTCTGTATAATCCTGAGATTGGTTACATGTTGTCATAGTTGCTCCCAGATTGTTGAATGGATGAATGAGTGAGTGGGCACTGGAGGTCAGGGAGGAAGAGCTAGTCAGTGTTGCATCATATAATGGGACATGTGATGTGATGGTAAGGTGTGTGTGTCTTCAGCTTTCTGGCTGGGAGGCCTGTATGAACACTTCTAGGCTATTCATGGAGTAATAGTCAAATTATTACTGAGATAAAACATAACCCTTGTGTTTTCAAAAGCAGATCTGAATGTGTTGGGTGGGATGTGGGGATATGAGGTTCTGTACATCAGTGCTCATCCCCCCCTGAAACCTGAATGTCGTGGTTTCCCGCCTGTCCGTCCCCCCCCCAGGTACGCGGTGGCCGCACATATGCTGAATGACATCTCCACGGCAATGGCCAGCGGGGCCTGGGAGGAGGCTAGGGAGCTCGCTCGGTGTGCAAAGCAGAACTGGGATGGACTGAAAGACCACCCGTCCCTGAGGTGAGTGGTTCTCTGGTGCCTGTGAGGGTTACCGACTGACCTAGTTGTTCTAACTGCGTAAGATCATCTTCTTCATGAGGAACGCACTCCTTTTGTTCTGTGGTGAGGCCAGCGTGTGTAGTTGAACTTCCTCCTCGCTTTGCATGGGGTCAAAAGTGCCAGGTGAGTAGCAGAGAGTGTCTGAAAGTTTGGAGTGATTTTTATAACCCTGGTCCGTCTGTGGCAGACAGTAGCTTGCCACCTGCAGGGGGACTGGCCCCTCTGGGGTTTGGTCAGCTGAATTACAACCATGGGGGAAGCCTGGCCACAGGACAGAAACTGTCTTCTTCTGGTGGAAATTCCAGGAGCTGTTGTTTTGAACAAGAAAATGAATCTTACCTTTAAAAAAAAAAGAAAATGAAATTGAACATTTACTTCAAGAGTTCAAGTACACAGCACATGATCCTTCATTCTTTTTGGTTTAATAAATGTTCAACGTGGGGAAAAAAAATGTTCAACGTGTTCCATAGGGTTAAGAAACTTTTTCCTTCCTTAGTACAAAGTGATGAGAAAAATTAGTAGTATTGGATATCTCTTTCAGAAAAACATTTAGGACAAAAGTCTACACAGGAATAATACAAACTTAAAAACCATAGCCAGGAAAATAGCCTTTACTGTTAAGAAAAAACAACTGAATATTTTCTCCGTGTTTAGTTTGGGAGTAATTCAGACAGAGTGAGGCATTTACTTATAGGCCTTTGTAGGAAGGAGACAACCAGTGTTTACAACGAGTGTTAGCCCATGATGTGCATGGACCCTGGGGGATTTTCTTAAGATAATTGGGCAAATGTGTAAACATTTCTCAGACCAAACAGCAAAACAAATGGTTAAAACAAGTTAATGGATGATTTTGTTGGTTAAAAAAAAATATAAGACCTCGTGGCTGGGAAGTTGGGTTCCTGTAGGACAGAAGCCAGTAGCCTCTTGTGTGGAGGCCTAGTGGGGCAGTGGTCAGGCTCTGCCAGCGAATGGGCGGGACTGTCCCAGTGCAGCTGTGTTCTCCGACACCAAATGTATGTTTCTTGTAATTTTTACGTGCCACACAGTTTTTCTCCTTTTGACTTCTTTTAGCCATTTATAAACATGGAAACCACACTGAACTTGTATTAAAATCAGGTGGAGGCCCTGAGTCCGGCCTAGGGGCTGGCATCTGACCTCTGGCTCTCACTTCACATTGCTGTTTGGTGACTTCAAGCAGGTAGCCATGAGAACATAGATTTGTGGTGTAAAAACCTGCACACGACAGACGGTGTTCAGAATGTATCTTCTTAGAAGAAAGAAATTCAGTCTGCTTTGTCACCTCTTCAGTTCAGTTCAGTCCAGTCGCTCAGCCGTGTCTGACTCTTTGCAACTCCATGGACTGCAGCACGCCAGGCTTCCCTATCTATCACTAACTCCAGGAGCTTGCTCAAACTCATATCCATCGAGTCGGCGATGCCATCCAACCATATCATTCTCTGTTGTCCCCTTCTTCTGCCTTCAATATTGCCCAGCATCAGGGTCTTTTCCACTGAGTCAGTTCTTCCTATCAGGTGGCCAAAGTATTGGAGTTTCAGCTTCAGCATCAGTCCTTCCAATGAATAGTCAGGACTGATTTCCTTTAGGATTGACTGGTTGGATCTCCTTGCAGTCCAAAGGACTCTCAAGAGTCTTCTCCAACACCACAGCTCAAAAGCATTGATTCTTTGGTGCTCAGCTTTCTTTATGATCCAACTCTCATACCCACACATGACTACTGGAAAAACCATAGCTTTGACTAGACAGACCTTTGTTGGGAAAGTAATGTCTCCGCTTTTTAATATGCTGTCTAGGTTGGTCTTAGCTTTTCTTCCAAAGAGCAAGTGTCCTTTAATTTCATGGCTGCAGTCACTATCTGCAGTGGTTTTGGAACCCAAGAAAATAAAGTCTCTCACTGTTTCCATTGTTTCCCCATCTATTTGCCATGAAGTGATGGAACCGGATGCCATGATCTTCATTCTTTTAATGTTGAGTTTTAAGCCAACTTTTTCACTCTCCTCTTTCAGTTTCATCAAGAGGTTCTTTAGTTCTTCTTCACTTTCTGCCATAAGGGTGATGTCATCTGTGTAACTGAGGTTATTGATATTTCTGCTGGCAATCTTGATTCCCTCTTGTGCTTCATCCAGCCTGGCATTTTGCATGATGTACTCTGCATATAAGTTAAATAAGCAGGGTGGCAATGTACACAATGTACAGGCTTGACGTACTCCTTTCACAATTTGGAACCAGTCCTTTGTTCCACATCCAGTTCTGTTGCCTCTTGACCTGCATACAGATTTCTCAAGAGGCAGGTAAGGTGGTCTGGTACTCCCATTTCTAAGAATTTTCCATAGTTTGTTGTGATCCACAAAGTCAAAGGCTTTAGCATAGTCAATGAAGCAAAAGTAGATGTTTTTCTGGAATTCTCTTGCATTTCTATGGTCCAATGGATATTGGCAATTTGATCTCTGGTTCCTCTGCCTTTTCTAAATCACCTCTTAGGATTGTCTTACAATATACACACCAAACCACTAAACTGCTGGTGGACATCTTCGTTTTAGGTACCACGAGAATTTACCGCTCTTCCTCCGGTGTTTTACCGTTGGGTGGGTTTACACGAGGATTTTGTCCCGAAACGTTGAAATACTGCAGAGACTTCACCTGTACAAGGTGGGTGCACCAGCCTTCTGCCCCTGGCTCTTGACTTCTCCCGCCAACATGGTCTGCAGCCAGGGCTGAGCTGCTGTCAGAGCCCCCGTGTGATGGGGAGGGTCTCCCCACATCTCTGAGGTGGAAACCTCGCCTCAGCTCAAGTTCCTGGGACAGCAGTCATGGACAGTCTGGAAGTAACCTACGGTCAGGAGTGAGGGCTCCAGTCACGCCCCTGCTCACACTCAGAGCTGTGAGGTTGCCAGACTCAGCTTTTGCTGTGCAGATACTTCTGTATTGAAACTCGGCATTTTACAAAGAGGCTCTGCTAGAGCTGGACTTCCTCACCTGGGTCCATGGACCCTGGGCAGCTCCGTGGGACTGGCTTCAGCAGCCTTTGGATCTGCAGTTGCATGTCTGGGGTTTGTGCATTTTTCTCAGGAGAATCATTAGATTTTTCAGAGATTCAGGAACCACAAAAGATGAGCATGAAACGTGAGCCATGAACATGGACCACAAAGTCCACCTGTTGAGGTGGGGCCTTTGGGTGGAGACCCCGCCTCATACCTATCCAGCCCCCTCCCCGATTCCTCGCACCCTTGGCCGTGTGGCCAGCTGGGTTCCCAAAAGCATGCAGACCTGCAGCCCAGCTGCTGCTCCTGCCCAGAGCCTGGCCCCGTGTGGCCGTTGCTGCTGACCTGGTGCACAGAGTGCCATGCAGTGTCACAGCTGCATCCACATGAGGTGCAGGGGCCCTGCTGAGAAGTGGGGGTGCCTCTGGAGCTCAGGCCACTCTCAGGGGATGTCCCAGGGCCCCCTCCCGGCAGTCCCGGGTCCTGGGCCTTATTTTAGAGTGGAAAGTATGCTGATACCCTTTGCGAGTTTTCCTGACAACTCAGTGTAACAGCAGCCTTAGTGTGCAGGAGTCTAATGCACGTCCCTTCTTGTTGCTGCTGCAGGAAGCTGTGGAGGAGCTTGAAAACCTCTTGTCCCAGGACGTGTACTGTCCCGACAGTAGGGGCCGGTGGTGGGACCGGTTGGCCCTTAACTTACACCAGCACCTGAAGCGCCTGGAGCCGGTACGTAGCTGCTAGGGGCACCAACCTTTCTTCAGCTTCACGTACATTTAAACATTAAAGCAAACTGTTAATACCTTAAGACTCTAAATGTCGTTAGGGCGTTGATTTCTTTCTTTCTTTTTAAGTTTATATTTTATATTGGACTATAGTTGATTTAAACCATTTATTTCTTTTTTTTTAAAGCATTGATTTCTCAAACATCCCTCTTTGTCTGTGTTCTGCCAACCCCAGAAATAGCAGGGGTGTGACCACAGGGTGACTGTGGGGTCAGCGGGTGGATCATGTTGGGAGCTGGAGGGTTAGGTGTCCCCCACCTTCACACAGGTGTGCTCTCTGGTTTGGAAATGGTGGTTTCATTCACTCACTGCCCAGGGCCTCCTGGTAGAAACACAGGTGAAGACGTGGCGTCTGGCTCCATCCCATCTGGGTGCTGCCCTCTCTGGTAGGGACTTTGAGTGTGAGAACACTGTTGGCTGCCAGCCACTGTGGCCAGCAGGGTAGGGCCTTGTGAGGCAGCGACAGTGGCCCTCTGTGTGGCCGCCTGTGGTCCCCTGTCCCTGCCAACCCCATGTCTGCATCCAGCGGAGGGCACTGCTGCCCTGGGAGCTTTTATTCTTCCAGTGGCAGGTCACATGAATCCGGTGATGGAGGGTTGGAAAAGTTGACTCTGGGCCTGACACGTTCCATTTACTGCCTGAAACTAAAAGGCTCCTTGTCACCTCAAGTGTTTCGAGCCAGGGAAAACTGTTCTTCTCCTGGAGGTGGGTATGATGCTCCCTGCCCAGTGTCAGGAGAGGCTCCCGCTGGCCCCAACCCAGTGTGGACAGAGGGCGTGTGCACACTGCCTTTCTCTCTCCCTGAAATAAAATTTCAGAGTTTATAGACTTTCCCATCATTTGGGTCTGCTGAGAGGAGTATTCATTAATGCTCAGAGGTTATTTTTGACGTTGATGGAGCATCCTGGTTTTTTTTAGTCTTTTCCTAGAGGTCTTCCTGGCCACTCATAACCTGTGATTTTGTCACCATTCCTTCCCTCTGTATGTCAGTTTCCAGAGCAGGCAGTGGCCAGCCCAGCATAGGCTCATGTCCGCCCAGCAGCCAGTTTGGCCAGGCCAAGCCCAGGGCTACCCCTCCCTACAGCCAGCCCGGCTTGTTAGGGCTGCAGAGCAGCCAGCAGGGCCTCATTCTCTCTGCTGGATTCCTCTGGGCTGCTACACTCTGATGGTCTGATCTCCACTGACTTCTGGGCTTTTTTTTTGTTGTTGTTGTTATTTTTTATTCTTTTATCGTAGTAATTATATATAACAACAACAAAAAACCTTGCCATTTTAACCATCGCTAGGTATACAGTTCAGTGGCATTAATTATATAGCTGATCTTTGACTAACTCAGAGGTTAGGGGTTCTGACCACCCCCCACCCCCACATGGTCAAAAATCCACATATAATTTTGCAGTTGGCCTGAGCATCCCTTGGGGCCCCGAGCACCCCTACCCCAGGTCCCTCTCCCCAGTCTCCTCTGTCTCCTGAGGCAGTGTGTCCACACGTGTGACCAGGACATGGTGTTGGGAACATGACTGCTTCTGCCCCACACCTTTGCCTCAGGGTCTGTGCTCCATCTATGCATTGAACGTGTCTGCGTGAAATCTACAGGAATAATGTTCTTGTCCCGAGAGGGTGGCTTTGCCCACCGCTAATTAGCAAAAGGAATGATTAATTGATGGTGGGGCTTCCCATCCCATGAAATGGGGGTGCCACTGCCTGGGCCTTACTGACACTGACAGTGCCGTGCTCTCCACAGGCTGTCCAGTGCATCGCTGCAGGCCTGGCCGATCCTCACGTCCGGACAGGCCACCGCCTGGCACTGTACCAAAGGGCCGCGCGCCTGCGGGCCTCTCCCAGCGGCCAGAAGTACATGCATGTCCTCCGCCAGCTCCCAGAGGTCACCGTGGAGGACGTCAGACACGTGCGTGAATATTCTGGGGGCACTGTGGGTGCATTTCAGGGGTTCTTCCTGAACGCAGCCTAAGAGCGGTTTCCAGCACACATTTCTCATAGAAAGCCCTCTGGTTTGCTGTTGGCAGTGACCCAGCCTTGCTTCGACCTCAGCCTGGCATTGAGGTGTCAAAGAGGCCTGGTCAGCAGGGGCTGTGACTCTGCCCCTGAGTCAGCAGCTCACACCCCTGCCAGGCCTCCTGCCCATAGTCCAGTCAGGACCCTGGAGAGCAGCTCAGAGCAGCACTCCTGGGGGTCAGGTGATGACCTGCCCACGTCCTCACAGACCAGCCTGCCGTTGCACTAAGGACAGGGGGCCTTTGGGGGGCTTTTGGGAGAGTTTGTCTGGGGCTTCAGGGCTGGAGCAGGAGTGGGGCTAATGGCTGTTCCTCCCCACCACCCAGGTGACTGTCACAGGCCGGCTGTGCCCGCAGCATGGATCGGGGAAGTCTGTCTTCGTGCTGGAGGCTGAGGGGGCCACCCCCACCACTCTCCTATGCTCTGTGGAGGAGCTGGCGCTGGCCCATTATAAACACTGCGGCTTTGACCAGGGTAACTCTGGGCCATGTGGCCACACTAGGGGGTGTTGTCACTCTATCCTGTCCCTGTGGAAGGCCCTGGAGGGCTCAGGAGAGAATTTTATCACCCCAGTTCATCAGGGCTGTGTGCTTCTTCATGGCCAGTGTTCACACCTGCCACCATGAGGGTGGCGTGTTCTGGTGGGGACAGGAGGAGCAAGGGTGGCTGGATTGCTCTTGGAGATCTTGGGTCAGGCAGGTGGACAGGACTGGGGGAGGACCACAAGATGCTGCCCATAGCCAGCCACTCAGAGGTACTGCAGTGTGTGGAGGAGCGGCAGGGTCTAGGGTGGGGGCATCAGGTGTGCCAAGGGGCCAGGAGGGGCCCACTCGGAGAGGCCGCAGCCCTGGGCACCCTGCTTCACTGCTCACACTGCCTGGAACTGGGCTGGGCCTCTCTGAGGTTACCACCCCATCTTGTGGTCTGGATGTGGGGTGGGGACAGGGGCTCTGGACTGGGTAGTCTCTGACTGGAAGTTTTCTGTAAAACCCCGAGTCTTAAAAACCCCAGCACTATGTGGTTTTCAGGTTGAGGCAGAGGAGTGCTGTGGAAGGAGGCGAATGGGGTCAGAAGGCAAAGGCTCCTGGGCATTCACCCTCCCACATCAGACCTCCTGTTTGTTTTTAAACATGTCCCTTAGGTTTTTCCACTGTGAAACATGCATTTGAATTTTGTCATAATTACTAAGACTTTCATCCTTAAGCAAGGCTTCTGTATATAAGCAATCTAATGTTAAGAAAATGAGCTGGGAATGGCACAAAAACAGCCTGTGCCTTTGAATCTGAAGTATTTTTGCTACTTTCTTCAACTTGAGTTGGCAGTAGGATATGGTGGTGTCTTTGGAGAACAGAAGAGATGGACTTTTCTCATGTGTGCCTTGTCTCAGGGATCCATGGGGAGGGGTCCACCTTCAGCACCCTGTTTGGCCTCCTGCTGTGGGACATCATCTTCATGGACGGGGTGCCAGATGCCTTCAGAAATGCCTATCAGGTAACCCTGGCTGCGTTCAGGCCGCAGAGACTCTGTACTCACACGTGAGTCACTCCCACCTTGGGACCCTGAGGTTGCAGCCCCAGAAACTTGCCCCCAGTTACACTCTTCTGGATCCTAGTGCTAATTTTACTGTAAGAATGGCGTTTAATTTTTAAATCTGATTCATATAATTTAAAATGTAAGCTACTTTACTGGAATCATTCCTCTTGAAACTTTTAGTGTCAGTGTCTTTGGCTTCACCCTGGTGGGGCCCAGGTACACTCCTGTGTTGTCACACATGTCTGCTAAGAGTTCCACTCTGTGTGCATGTTCAGTCGCTCAGTCCTGTCCAGCTCTCTGTGACCCCATGGACTGTAGCCTGCCATGGAATTTTCCAGGCAAGAATACTGGCGTCTGTTGCCATTCTTTCCTTCAGGGGATATTTCTGACCCAGGGATCGAACCCGTGTTTCCTGCATTGGCAGGTGGATTCTTTACTACGGCACCACTTGGGAAGTCCAAGAGCTCCACCAGTTTAACCTAAGAACTCTTTTGGCAAATTGTGCTTGTCTTTGCAAATTAGTTCTCTAAAAAACCAGTGTCATAAATTGCTTTTATATCAGATTACTTGGGTGATTTTTATTTATCTTTTGAGAAAAAGCCTGAGTCTACTTCATCAGAGTAGCCAGTTTCCAGATTTGATGGGTGTTGGCTCCTCTGATGACCCCAGCCTCCCAGACTTAGTGTGAGCTGGTTCTCCCTGCACACAGGCGGCCCCACTGGACCTCTGCACAGACAGTTTCTTTGAGAGCAGGGCACCAGCCATGGAAGCCCGGCTGCAGCAGATCCACAGTGCCCCTGAGGAGAGCCTGCGGGCCTGGGTGGCAGCTGCCTGGCAGGCCCAGGAAGGCAGGGTGTCCTCCCTGGTCAGCTGGGATCGCTTCTCTTCTCTGCAGCAAGCCCAGGTGAGAGTCTGCAGGTGGGGTTTGCTTAGGAAGTGCCTCCAATGTGGGTTTCCTTTTGGCAATTGTAACAAAAAACATACATGCACACATTCACATATATGTGTACCTCTATGTGTGCACACATTCATGTACCTGTGTGTATGTGTGTACCTGTTCATGTATATATGCAAGACATGTGTATATGCATGTGCTTGTCATACCCCTGCCCACAGGCCTCTGTTCGTGAAGGGACAGTCCCACATGTGAACAAGCCCCAGTTATGGCTTCTGCCCGTTTGGTTGGCAGCCTCCTTGGCCTGGCCTGTGGCCCCTGGAGGGAGGATACTCTCCCCGTCCTGTGACCAGTGGCTTCCATGGTCCACTGTTGCAGCCTAAGTGCTCACCCCAAATCCTCTCTTCTTAGCTGCTCCCTGGATGTTCCTGACCGGGTGAAAGCTTGGTAACTGACTAGGAGAACGCGTCCCCAGAGGCCGGGGTGCCAGCACCAGGGTAGAAGGATGCTTGGTGTCCTAGGACCCCATCTCTGCTGAATGACACATGGGGTCTCCCCCGTCTCACCATCACTGGGGGCTCCAGGGTGTCCATCCCAGGGGAGGGCTGACCGTCCCTGTGTCTCCTGTCCAGGATCTTGTGTCCTGCCTAGGGGGCTCCATCCTCAGTGGCGTGTGCCGGCGACTGGCTGTGGACTTCCGGCACTGCCGAGGGGGCCTCCCCGACCTGGTTGTGTGGAGCTCCCAGAGTCATCACGTCAAGGTCAGTTGAGCAAGAATGGAAAGTCATGTTTGTAATTTTATGATCAACTTAAAGGCCATAATCCAGGCATTTCTTGCTTGGTGATAGACAAGATTGAATCCCTCAAGAGTTGCTGGACTGAGGGCTAGGATTGTTCGGTGGCTGCTGATAGAGGCGTCCACAGTGTTGACACCTGGCCTCTCCCCACGCAGCAGCCTATTTCATCTGAGCAGGTGAGGGAGAAGGGCCAGGCTGTAAGCAGGACGGAAGTCAGTCTCTTTTTATCAGCTGAGCTTGGCAGCAACAAGCCATTGCTTGTGCTGTGTCCACTGTTGGAAGCAGGTGAAGGGCAGGGACTCAACAGGTATGAGCACCAAGAGGCCGGGATGGCTGGGGGTGATTTTTCTAAGCCCCAAGAGTGAGCATCTGCTCACATGCTGTAGGCCGGCCACCACCCTTTCCTCACCTGGTCTCATCCTGCCTGTCACAGGCTAGTGGTTTTCTTAAACTACTGAATTTTGAGATGAAGAGAAAAATTATGGTACAGGTTCTTTATCAGATACATTTCATTCAGTGTGTGACTTGACTTTTCATTGTCTATTGTATTGAACAGTTGAAGTATTAAGTTTTGATGAGTCCAGCTCATCTGTTCTCTCTGGGTCATGCTTCTGGTGTCATGTGACACCTCTGACTACAGTTGTGGATTTGGGTGTTTTTCCTTTCAGTTTTATCAATGTCTGCTTTATATATATTGTGAAGCTTTATTATTCAACATATAAACTTAGGATTGTCATGTCTCCATGATGAATTGAAGTCTTTTATAAAATGACCGTCCTTTATTCTTGGTAATGTTCTTTGCTCTGAAATCAACTGATACAAATTTATTATATAGTCACTCCAGCTTTCTCTTGGCTGCTGGCAATTAATATACTTTATTAAAACTTATCTTTGTTTTTATATTTGAGTTTCTTATATTCTGTAGGCAGCATATATATGGGTCCTACTTTTAATCTAATCTGACAACCTGTGCTCTTAATTTGTTAGTATTGGGAATATTACATTTAATGTGATTATTGATGTTTGGCTTTAAACCATTTGTATTTTGTCTCAGTTCTTCATTTTATCTAAGGTTGCATTTTATCCTCTGTTGGCTTGTTAGCTCTGACTCTCCATGTGTTTTAAGTGGTTGGAGTGGTGTTTACAGTGTGTACTTACACTTATCTACTTTCAAGTGATGTACCAGTCCACATAGAATATAAAGAACCCAACAACAGTGTATCTCCTCTCTCAGCCTTTGTGCTGTGTTCATACATTATGCCTCAACATGTTATAAACCCTGTAACACATTATTTTGCTTTCTATAGTGTACTAATGAGCCTTTATAGTTACTCATATAGATACGAATTCTAATGCTTACTCCTTTATATAGATTCAGATTTCCATATACTATCATTCTCTTCCTGACAGAACTTCCTTTCACATTTCTTGCAATGGAAGTGTGCTAATGATGAATTATTTAGGCTTTATATATTTTAAGACTTTAAGTCCTCGTTTTTGAAAGATATTTTTTCCTAGGCAAAGAATTTTTTTTTAATGCCTTAAAATATTTGTCCACTGTCATCTCGCTTGTATTGTTTCTAGTGAGAAGTCTGTAGTCTCTCCCCTCTTTTAAAAATTCTGGCTGCTTTATTAGATCCCCCCCACCCTGCCTTTTTTTTTTTCAAACTTATATGCAATTTATGTTTCTTAGAGTTGTGTTCTTTAGGGGTCTGTACTTGGAGTTCACCGAGCTTCTTGGATCTTTGGGTTTATAATTTTCCATCAACTTTGAAAAATGTTTTAGCCATTATCTATTCAAATTTTTTTTCTCTCTGTTCTGCCCTTTGGGATCTCTGTTAAGATCTCTAACTCCTGTTAGGCTGTGGAAATGCTTTATTAATTTAAAAAGAAAACAAAAACATTTGTAGTTCATGTTGGTAGTCTCCATTGCTGTGTTTTGAATTTTGGTGCTCTGTGGTAGACAACTCTGACACAGTTCTGGTTCCATGGAGCTGATGTGTGATGAGCAGTTTTATCTTATGATACACATCGTAAACAAGTAGACAGGAAGGGGAAGGACCTTCCTAGAAATAAATCTGAGCTGAGCACTGAGGGGGAAGATGTCAGACACGTGAAGAGTAGGGAGACGTGTACTAGGCGGTGGGACTGGCAAGCACGGGCAAGGGCCCTGCTTGCGTGGGGAAGACACCAGCCACATGGTTTTGTGGGTCCTGGCAAGAAGCTTGGGTCTAATTGCAGACACAACAAAAAAGTGATTGAGGGGTGTTAAGCAGGAGAGTAACAGTGCTGTGTGTGCTGGAAAACTATTTCAGCTGCCGTATTACATATGAATCCATTTCCTAATTCTTTGTGGAGGACAGTCTGGTTTCTACAGAATAGGGGACTTTCTCACTGAATTCATATGTACATGTTTAGTTGTTATAGACATGTAAGTACAGCAGTGCAGCTGGACAAGCCTTCTAAATAAATGGTCGTTAGTGGGAACTGCCACAGCCCACTTGAATAGCCCTTCTGTCTCAGTAAAACACTAATCACTCCACAACTACCCTCCCAGCTGGTGGAAGTGAAGGGACCCCATGACCGGCTGTCGCAGAAGCAGATGATCTGGCTGGACGAGCTGCGCCGGCTGGGGGCGGATGTGGAGGTTTGCCATGTGGCTGCAGTCGGGGCCAGGAGCAGGGGTCCCAACTGAGAGCTGAGGGCTCGGAAGCATCTAAGACCATCAGAGCATAGAATGTCACTACATCCTATTTAATTTTGGTTTTGTTATTGTCATAATAAACCTGGCACCTTAAGGACTCATCATCGTACAGTGTCTGTATCACCAACCTCATTATTGGCTTCAGGGCACTCACTGATCCCACATATCAGTAAAGAACTTCCAAAAAGGTCAGAACCTTGGTGGCTATTTCAGGAGGTGAATGCATTATGTTATTAAGTTATATTTACAGAAAACTGCAAAACGAGATGATTCACAGCTTTTGGTCTTTTATGAAAGTAGCATACACAATGTTTCTTTCTAAAAAATATATTAGAAACAGATTCTTGAATTTTTATGTTTTCCGATTTCTCTAGGAATTAAGAAACACATTGTCATCAAAGTGCCTTGTTATTTCTGTCAACACTTGCTCCAGTTGGGCCTGCATCACCATGGGGGAGAGACACTCTCTACCAGAGGCATTTAGTTGTCCCTTTCCGTCTTGACCCTTGGGGATGTCCCTGATGACTGAGGCAGTCTCCCACACTGGCAGAACTCGCTTTAGCACTACTGTTTTTGTAGATCCAAGGTCTGGGGCAGCCCTGGGTCAAGCAGGTCTGTCAGCACCATCCTTCCAGCAGTGTTCACTTTGGGTCTCGGTCACATTCCAGTGATTCTCACAGATTTCAGACTTCTCTGTTATTATATTTGTTACGGTTTGACTTGCAGAAGGTTCAGATGATGGTTAGTATATTTCAGCAGGAAAGTATTTTAAAATACTTAAAGGTGTGTACACTTATTTTAGATATAATGCACACTTAATAGACTATAGTATACCAGAAGCATCACTTTTACATGTACTCAGAAACCAGAAAATTCACATGACTTGCAGACTGTGATGATACTCACTTTAATGTGGTTGTGTGGAACCAACCTGCAGTGTCTCCAAGGTGTGCAGAGCCCTGGGCAGGGTGGGGAGGGGAATGGACACAGGAAGGGACTGACCAGGATGGGAGGCCTGGGCGGGTCGGCCAGGATCCTACTCCTTGATCTTCTTAAGGAAACACCACTCCCCAGCTTTTTTTTTTTAAACACTGGAGTGGGTTGCCGTGCCCTCCTCCAGGGGATCTTCCTGACCTAGGAATCAAACCTGCATTTCTTTTCTTTTTTTTTGGCTGGAGCGGTTTATTTATTTATTTATTTATTTAAAGTTCAGCACTATTTTTTTTTTAACATTTCAGTGGGTTTTGTCATACATTGACATGAATCAGCCATGGAGTTACATGTATTCCCCATCCCGATCCCCCCTCCCACCTCCCTCTCCACCCGATTCCTCTGGGTCTTCCCAGTGCACCAGGCCCGAGCACTTGTCTCATGCATCCCACCTGGGCTGGTGATCTGTCTCACTATAGATAATATACATGCTGTTCTTTCAAAACATCCTACCCTCGCCTTCTCCCACAGAGTCCAAAAGTCTGTTCTGTACATCTGTGTCTTTCTGTTTTGCATATAGGGTTATCATTACCATCTTTCTAAATTCCATATATATGTGTTAGTATGCTGTAATGTTCTTTATCTTTCTGGCTTACTTCACTCTGTATAATGGGCTCCAGTTTCATCCATCTCATTAGAACTGATTCAAATGAATTCTTTTTAATGGCTGAGTAATATTCCATGGTGTATATGTACCACAGCTTCCTTATCCATTCGTCTGCTGATGGGCATCTAGGTTGCTTCCATGCTTTTTAATGTATACAGTGCAAGGCCGAGTTAGGGCCTGGTCCATGAACCCCCATGGCTGTGACGACAGCCAGTTGTGAACTGAGGTTTAGAGCAGGCAGAGCAGCAGGGACGAGACACAAGCACAGCTAGAAGAAAATATCCCACCTCTCACATCAATAACAAAGGAAACCATTTCTGTGGACATTTTATTAGCACTCAGCACTTCCTTCACATTCATCACTGCTGGAAAACAGAATCTCTCACCTTTCTGCCCATCCTACTTTAATGCAAGTCACAATCAGTTTTAGGCACAAAGGTTTTCATTTTCTTTCAAAATCAAGTTTCAGCTACTCGAGGTTACTGCTATAGCAAGAAGAGTTTGTTGAAGTATGCGTTGAACAATTTTCACCCTCTGTTAGCACAAATTAATATACTTTCTTAAATAAAGTTAGACACTTTTGGTTTTAAAGTTGGTTTCCATCACAAACAACAGTAAGACACTTTACACCTTGAGGTCCTATCCGAGAGTCTGCCCGCATGGCCCTGTCAGCAGAAGCTGGGCATCCATGGCCAGTGCTGCCCTCGGACTCTGTCCCCACATCCTAGGCCAGCAATGGGGCCGGTGGCTCTGCAGGGGCTAGGACTTAATGCCGGGATAGTTGTTGTTCATATTATGCACGATAAAGTGGCACAATAATCATGATATAACAACTGTTCAGCAAAAATAAAACAAAAAACTGTATTTTACATTTGATTATCATACAAAAATATGCACATTTTCTATTTTAAAACAGCATTAACAGTACCTAATCATTTTAAAACTTGCAAGTTAAAAACATTTACTAAAACAATTGAAATAAATGTGATAGGGAAGAAAGTTATAGAGAAATAAATGCTTAACCTGAAAAAACAGTAACAAATTAAGACAATTTGTAATAATTAAAAAGCGGCCTAGTGAAAAATGGGGAAGAACTGTTACACTTTGCAGTGGCAAGATGGGCTTTGGGGTTTTCAGGGGGCTGGAGCTGGTTCCAGTCAAGGACTATAAAATGTTTAGTGGCAACAGTGCTGCTTACGTAAACTAAAAAAGCCCTTTTTTCTCGGCAGGTTGGGAGAAACATTGGGTTTATCCACAAGATGGATTTCCTTAGACACTGCATAGGAACTTCCATCCTTTTAAATCCAGAGACATTATCCAACAATTTTTTAAAGGCAAGTAATTCAAACAGAAATACCTATTTCTTACATATGAAGGTAAAGCACTGTTTTGAAAAAACCTGTTTTAGAAAAGAACATAATCTTAACTGCACACTTTAAACATTTTTTGAAAAAAATAAGATGGCAGTTTAAGACAACGATATGACAGCCACATTTCAAACATCCATCTTTTCCCAAAAGTGAAGGGTGTGGTGACTCTGACCAGCACGGCCGCTACGAGCTCGTGCTCTCACCCTGCAGCTTTGGTGCAGCTCCCGTGACACACCCGCCATCAGGAGTTCAGACAAGAGCACACCTGTCTTCGTCCGTCTCCTCAGCACTGCTGTCACAGGTGGGGCGGGGCAGGTGCTCTTGGTTAAAATGGCAATATCCTGAGAGAAATCCACCTCTACGCACCTGTCCTCCCTCCCCAAGGGCCAGGCACTCTGTCCTTCCCTGCAGGTGACCTGACTCCTGAGCTCACCACCCCTTTCCAGGGGCAGGTGCCCAGAGTGGCTGGGTCTCAGTAACACTGCCAGTGCTGGCTCCGCTCCCCCCCACACCCAGACCTGGGGTGTCCAGGTGACTTTTAGCTGGAGGCTTTGTGACTAGCCTCCTTCTGATGTGCGGTGGGACTCTGATACCCTAACTCAAATTGTTTTACTCTGCGTTATTCATATCTTAATAGTTAAAGGCACTTCTAAGTTTAATTATATTATCTACAGCAAATGCTTTTGAAGTCCACAGTGCACATCATTTTAAAGTTAGCCCTAAGCAAACTCATGATTTTAAAACACAGTGATTTACGGTCCCAGACAGAAATCTAAAATAAATTACAGTGTGGGAACACACAACTCTAACGTGAGTTCAACTAGAGATAATGAAAGTGACCAGCAAAATGCAAATACCCATGAACACCCACTGGGGTCTGCTGGATGCTTCTTGAAAATACACCAGACTCTAGTTCTTGACTCCCCTGATGGTTGCTGCTCGGGCTGCTAATCCGACCAAGGATCAGGGAAGCTTTAGTAGGTGGTTAGAAAGACAAATGCCACACACAAAACCTGGTTAGTCTGATCACAGTAATAAAATCGTGGGAATGTCTGCCTGCAAATGACCTAAAAACGAGCCAGACCCAGCATGACAGAAAGAGAACATAAATAACAGAAGTTAGGCCTGTCTTTTAAAAAACTGTGAAGGAAACATAATTCAACGTGTTTTTAAGAATTAGTGCAAATCTCAGTTGTTACAGATAATGATGAGCATGTCCGACATCTAGGGCAGGAGTTATGCTCACCCTTCAGGACGTGCAGGAAGACCCCCTTGGTCTCCACGTGAGGGTCTCGGTGGACAGCCGTATCTCGGACCCACATGGGTAGGCAGTCCTGCTCGTCCCTCAGGATGGTCAGTCTTCATTGGCGAGGGTCTCAGTGGACAGCCATATCTTGGCCCCACTGAGAAACTTGCTCAGCGGTGTCCCCGAAATGCTCCGCCTGCACAGATTGCCCACTGGGGAGAAGGGGAAGGAGGACGAGAGGAAGTCCAGCGTGCCTGGGGCGTCGTATGGGCCGCCAGCGTGGAAGTACAGCCTGCTTGGGGCCAGCTCAGGGCCGGGGACTGGCGTGGGGCCACCCCGGGGCTGTCGCAGCGCCCTGCTCAAAACATCCACCTCGTCGGCCAGCAGTGAGAGCTTGTGGAATGCTGTAATGAAGCCCCCGTGCTGGATCTGGGCCTCGGGGACCCAGCGAAAATAGCAGAGTTTCCACAGCTTGATGTGTGCCCCTGAGAGACGTGGCAGGATGGTCCCGTGCAGGTCAGCTGGCCTGGAGGCCCATTCTTGGAAGAACTGCTCCACACCCCAGTCCTGGCTGTCCCTCAGCTCCAGAGGTGCTGGCTTCACCTGCAGGATTAGTGAGTTTCTCCTTGGCCGTAACTCCTGCTCACTGATGATGCCGTTCTTTAAGGAGGCTGGCATTCCTCTCAGTGTGGAGCTGTAGCTTTTCTGTACAGAGAGATTCTAGCATTATTCTCCTGGAGCTTCCCCTTTCAGAGAGATGGTAAAAGTGTGATGGTGAACGTACACTCAGGTAGAATTTCAACCTTAAAGGACATTTTGTCCCTCCCTTGGTAATAATTGCTCCAGTCCTCCTCCACTGAAGCTGGTCACTTGGGCCTTGGCTTTGCCAGGCTGTGGTCTGTATGGGGGTGGAGCTGATATATTCAACCCGTCACAGGCAGACCCCTGGGAGACAGTGGATTCGCGATAAAGCAAGTCACACCAGGTTTTTGGTTTCCCGGCACATATGTTTCCAGTATATGGTAATTTATTAAGTGTGCCACAGCATTATGTCTAAAAAGACAATGTGCACACCTTAAATACTTTACTACTAAAAATGCTAACCCTCATCTGAAAGTTGTAATCTTTCTGCAATAGTCACATCAGAGATCACTGGTCACAGATCACCATCACAAATATAATAATGAAAAAAACTGTGTGGCTTAGACTCCTCCCACTCATTGCCAAGGGTACAGGTTCAATCCCTGGTTGGGGAACTAAGATCTCCTGAGCTGCATGGCGCAGCCATAAAAGAAAGAAAGCAAATGACTCCTCAAACCTGCATTAGCAATGCTGTCGTGGGACGTGCCTGGACTTTCAATACTCTGTTCTGAAAAAGATGTTTTTGGTTATGTGTGTGCAAACACCAGGTTTCCACCGTTAGTGCGTTTTTGTAGTTTACCTTTGTCCTTTTAAAGGACTTCACAGAACCATTCTGCACACAAGGCGTGCTCTTTCCAATGTAGAAGGGGTTGTGGAAAAGGGTGCGATCCTTTGGTGTAAACTGGAGAGACCAGTCCCAAACGGAGGGGAATTTTAAACCCTTCTCATCACCCAGCTGGATGTTTTTGCTTATAGCAAATTCCTGCAAAATAAAATATTTGAACATTTGTGAAAAATGCCAAACTCAAGATTTTCTCATTGATAACTTCCTTTTTGATGAGCTGTTCATTATTATACGAGTGAAATTTTCTGTATGAGGGCGATTCCCACCCCTCTGGAGCAGCACACTCTGCTCCCCAGAACAGACGTTGCTGGCAGCTGACACGAGGAGGGCATGGCCCTTGCATGAGGAGGAGGGGGGCCCTGGGCAGTGAGCATGTTCATGAGTGTGAACTCGTGGAGGGAGCTCACCCTGGCACAGTGGCCTGAACAAACCCTCTCCTTAAATGCTCACACCCACAGTTTTGAACAGCATGCGTCTTCAGGATGCTCAGCTGCTGGTTTGAGGCAGCAGCTTCACAGATGAGGAACTCAGACTCAGCAGAGTCCCAGCCCTGGCTAGGGCCACAGCTCACTGTGAAGGCAGCCCCTCTTACAGTCTTCCTGAAGGCCCATGAGAGCGTCCTTCTGGGCACTGCAGTTTCTGTGGCTACACCCACTGCTCCAGACATGGATAAGACAACTCGTGGTTTCAGAAGGCTCAACAGGGCAACCAGAAGCTGGTTTCAAGTCTGGCTTGAGACCCTCCCTAGTCACAGTTCTTCCTCTGGGTTAAGAGTTGGGACAGGAAGCTGACAGGCCTACGTAAAAGTGACTTGCCCCACAGCATCAGGGTCTGAGGATACTCAGTAAGCAGTGCCCAGCAAGAGTTCCAGTCTTGCATCATGCCTGTGTTTCCTCTCAAATTCCTTCCCCATAGAATTCTCAAAGAAAAATCATTTGCTTTATACCCCTTTTATTCTACTGTCCTAGAAAATAAATGTTTTCAAACAGGATCTTACCAATTACCCATTCAGACAGCTCAAACGTGAACATATAAATACAAAAGTACATTTACGGTGGTTAAAATAAGCTACATCTTTCAATAAATGTCAGAGAGAAACACCTAGAATGCTCACTCACAAATGCAACAGGTTCAGGTTCCTGGACTGCTATCCATCTGAAATTACAGCTTAAAATGGTATTCATAACTGAGACAGTTTAACAGGAGACAGCTACTGCACGTTGCCACGGCGGGTGCTCACCGTGCTCTGCTGCACACGCTGGTGTGGAGAGTTGAACAAGAAGGTGCCGAACAGTGCCACACGGGTGCTGTCGTGCAGCACCGCCAGGTAAGTCTCAGAGAACTCAAAGGCCGCTGGGCACTGCTCCAGCAGCTGCCACGTGGTGTCCAGGAACAGCAGGAACACAGGAGCCTGGCAGACACACGAGGAAATGAGATTACTCAGTGCTGGCCTGCAGGGCCCACGTCTACCCCCAAACTTCTCACTGACGTGAAGGAAGATATTAGTAGACAGTGAGGCCTGTATGCGTGGCCCTGAAGCTGAGCTCAGCATACATGAGTAGACTAGACAGCCATGGCCACCCTGAGACCGAGCCTGGCCTGGGACGTGTCTCAGCACCTCTCTGTCCAACAAGTCCACCACGCTTAAGTGGTGAACCAGAAAGACAGGCAGGGAATTGCCCTGTGAAGGGGGAACAGGGAAATACATGTTTAAGCCGAACCTGGAAATAGTTCTTCAGAACATTTAAAACAAAAACCTCCAAACCATAAAGCAGCTTCTGTAACAACTTTTGGCTGACCCTTCAGTCAGCATCCAGAGACATAAATGGGTTTCAGACGCTGCTGTGGCCTTGGGGTCCCGGGGCACACCCTCAATGCAGCAGCTGGCAGCAGCCCCTGCACCCACTCAGTGTGCCTTGATGAGTCAGAGTCAACACGGGAAGCATTCACTGCTGGCGCTTCCTCAGATGGCAGGGACTGTTACACGCGACAGCGAGTCAGCAGTGCTCTTAGGAGCCTCCCTGACATGGGACACCGCAGGGCTCTCACAGCCCCACAAGGACCCGAGGCCCTGCCAGCCTCGCAGCTCTTACATGTGCCCCCCAGCCTCCCTCATACCCCATTTTAAGAAACTATGATACTCCAAAGCTGGTTTTCCAAAATACCTAATGTGCCTACTGTCTACTTACAGAAGACCTACCGTATTAATGGCATTTCTTCAAGCAGTTTTCAACTAAGAGAAACTCAATAGATTACTTTTTAGAGTGTCGCCTATCATACAGTTATGATAGTCTTCATAAACACCTCAACTTGAACTCTAATCCACGGGTCAGTCTTGGACTAAGAAGCTAGGATGTAGTGAAGGCAATGTTTTAAAAGCTTCCTTGTCCGCTTCCGCACAGAATCTCTCTCCCTGTGATGACGCGGTTGTACCCTGTGCACACTGAAGGGCTGATGATAAGCACAAAGGCTTTGTTACCTCCTTCTCCGATCTCTTCAGGTGGTTGCATCTGTCCAGGAACGGATATCCGGCCATGACCCACTCTTTCTGTATCAGACTCTGAAACCCAGTGATGGTCCTGAAATAGGGGTCCAGCATCACTTGGACCAGAGAAGCTATGATGCAGCTCAGGTCTCTTCCCTCCTCCTCTGTCAGTGAAACGGAAAGACAACACTTAGTACACAGCAGCATGCTCAGAGAAGGACGGAAGGGGAGGTAAAGCATACACTGCAGTGTTCTGTGTGCGGCAGCCTTCAAGATCATCCATGTTAGGACATTTCATTCAGGCCAGCAACTCTAAATATTACCTACAGATCATGTTTAATGGAGAGATGGACTTTTACATATGAATGTTTTCTAGGTATCAGAAGTATAGCCCTCACTCTTTTTACATTTCAATGATCTGTGGTAAAAATCTCCCAAGAGTCCATTCTATTCGTTTTGGCAACAGCATTAAATATCCCACAATCTTTACACTGATAGCTCTACAGGGTGACTCAGAGGTGAACAAGAGAAACGGAACTATCCACCATCATCTGACAAGGTGGCAAATGCTTCCCTCCCATCTTTCATATCTGATATCCTTTAATAATAAGACCAGGAATACTCTGATATCAAAGCCAGCCACAAAAATCAGAAGAAAACTAACATATAGTATCCCTTATATGTAATGTCATCAACAAAGTATAAACAAACCAAATTATCTCAGGAATGCAAGAATTTATCCTAGAAAAGCAAGGCTGGTTTAACACCCAACAAAGTAACACACCATAATAAAAAATAAAGGACAAAAATTACATGATCATCTCATTAGATACATAAAAAGCATCTGATTAAAATTCAACATTTATTCTGGATAAAAACTCTCAGCAATCTAGGAAGAGAAGGGAATTTCAACCTGACAAGTGGAATCCACAAAAACCTACAACTAACATCACTCTTGCCAGTGAGATCCTGGACACTTTCCTCCTAAGATGGGCAAAAGGACAAGGATGTCTGTTCTGTCACTTCTACTGAATGTTGTCCGGGAAGCTCTACACAGGGAAGTCAGGCAAGAGAGAAATCCAAGGCATTTCAAACTGGAGAGGAACAAGCAATAACTGTATTTGCAGACAATGTGTGTCCATATGTAAAATAAAACCCCTGAAGAATCCATAAACAACTACTAAAACTAATGAATGAGTTTACTAAGGTTGCAGGAATTTTATACACAATGAGTACACAATATATCTGAAAATGAAATTTAAAAAGCAACTATTCACAACAGCATCAAAAATAAAACACAGATTTAACAAAATAAGTGCACGGGTTCTACACTAAAAACTATAAAGCTGACATGACATGAGAGAAAATCCAAATAAATGGACACTCATTTCATAGATCGGGAGATTCCACGTTAAGACAGTATTCTCCCCAGTCTCCAGTTCAACACAGTCCTATCCAAAACCCAGTAGGCTTTTTGCTGATCCTAAAAGTTACACAGAAATACAAAGGACCTAGAATAACCAAGACAATTTTGGTAATAAGGTTGGAGGACTTAACATGTCTTAATTTCAAAGTGTACCCTAAAGCTACAGCACCCAAGATACTATGGCCCAGGGACCGCGGTGGTCAGGAGTTACCTTGCAGCACTACAGACAGACGCTTGCTCTCTAGCACGTACACGAGTTCTGCTGCATGTTTAAGAAATGCCCTGGAAACACAAAGGGAAACACAATGTTAAAAACCAAACTTCCACTACAGATATATTGTTTAAAGTACTTGAAGTCAAGCAAAGCTAATCTCTCACCATACCCACTGGTAGTCTCTGTAACCTTTTTGAGTTTCTTCAGTATTTATATGAATAGTTTGGTTTCTGCATCAGGGAAATTCATTAACTTTTGCTAATTTACATGACCTTCTTGAAATCACCCAACTACAGAGACGGAGAAGAGATGAGTGGGCGCAGGGGTGGACCTGTAGGGGAGGGGGGGCGCAGCCCTCCAGGGGTGGCAGGAGGGAGATGTAGTGATGGGGCGGTCTGCATCCTGACTGTTGGTGGTCACGTGGGTCTATAAACGTGATGAGCCCACACAGAAGCACACCAGAACACCTGTCTATCAATGCTGAACAGGACCCAGCTCACACTGCTGTCAGCTCCTCGGCTCCAAAGCCATCACCCATTGTGTGAGCTGTTACCACTGGGAAGCAGGTAAGGAGTGCACGGCTTTGTAATATTTTTGCACCTCCTGCAAATATATAATTATTTCAAAATAAAGAGTTAGGAGAAAAAGAAAGCAGTTGTACAAACCTTACATACTCCAACCACCGTGTATTCTCCAGTGAAGATAGCCATTTCTCTTCAGTTTCTTCAAACGGTTCTGCAATTAATACGATTACATATGTAATTCTATACACTCGTATATATATTCAATATAACACTTCCGGGCTTCTTAACATGATCAAATTGAGAGTTAGATGATACATCACAGTTTCTAATACTTAAAAGTTGGCTTCAAGAAGTGTAATGCATTTGCATTAAATAATAAAAACATTTAAGAAGAAGGCGCACTACAGTTCTATAAGGAATGGAACCAAGCACTCCCCAGGCCTCCGTCTCCTCTTTGGCTCTTCCGGGGAAATCTTGGAGACTCCGACCACCTCTGCCTCCTAGAGCTGCTGACCCCGGCCTTCCCTGACTTTGGCCTTCCCTCCCCAGCCTCCTCACCACAGGCCTGGCCCTCCCTGCCTCCCACCCCTCCCTGCTGCCACTGCCTGGCTGACATGGCCTTGGTGCAACCCCTGCAGGGAAGGGGGCAGCTTCCTGATGGGGCCTGTCCTGGCTCATCTCAAGGTGCCCCTTGCCTCACAAACCCCATCCCCAGCCACCCCAAGTACTAGACTGCTGAAAGATACAGTTGCTGTGTTTCCAAACACACACCCGCCCCACTCCAGCTCGCCTTCCAGTCATGCTGCCTCTCCACCGCCCAGTGATGAGGGGCTCTCTGCACACCCTTCACACCAAGGGCCCTTTCCTGTGAGTCAGCCATCCAGGGGCAGGCACATCGAAGCACCCCGTGAGCACGTGCTCCAGCAAAAATATGGGAACTCTGAGGCTGCACACATTCTCATGTGGCTCAAAACATAACTCAGCACATTAGGGTCTTAGTTTACTTGTGAGGTCGCACACTGTTCTACTAACAGACACTTTTCCTCCAAAACTAAACGCAGCTTAAACTTCATTTTCTAAGAGCTTCTGACAGTCTCATATAATGATAATTTGTACAGGTATCTCAATGAGCCTTTACTTATTAACTATTTCTAAATTTTTAAGTTATGTCATTTATCCTGACATGCCTCGAACAATGCCTCATAGAATCACCTAGTCATTGTTTACATATGTATATATATAATAAAGATAAAATTACCATTAACACACAGTTGTTTAAGTTTTACAAAAGCCACCTGAATATCTTGGATGTTGGGTAAGGTCTTGTCCAAATCTGACTTGTAGACATCACTTCTCTGTGGATGACTTTTAGTTATTGCATTATAAACCCTAATAAAGACAAAACCTTTGAGTCACTATTCATTCTTTTATTCAACATATATATTTTGAGCACCTACTATGAGCTAACTTACATCTTAGTTGCCACCATCTTAGTTGGTTTGACTTGATAAACCTAGGACGCACTGAACTATAAGAAAAACCTGATTCACTCTGCAGTGTCTTGACCGGGAATCACTGCACTCTGAAAGTTCTTTAGAGGCAGCACTACAGCAAGATGTCAGCAACATAAGATCCTTATATGCCAAAGAACTAAACTATGTTTAGTATAACCTGAGAGTTAATTTTAATACGTTCACATCCTCTCCGCAATGGCAATGCTTGTATGAAGTACATGGTGCTTTCTGACTCTCTAGCTAGAACGACAAAGATACCCCAAGCTCTGAGGGCAGTGGCCCACTCACCTCTGCTCGATCTTCCTCTGCTGCAGCACGTCTCTTATGAGGGCCGTGCGCACGAGGGCACTGCCATTCGAGTGGCTCCAGCACCAGAACTAGGAGAGAAGCAGGGTCTTTACTTAACCGGCTGGAAAGTGGAACACAGTATTGGAGAGACCCAGCAGGCCTTACTTACTGGCATCCGTCTTCCAACAAAAGAATGGGAGAAGACCTTCAGGTCTTGATCTGCTAGCGAGCTCGGCACCACGAAGTACTCTGGGAGGCTGCAGATGAAAACACAAATCATGATGTGAGAGCTTGGCTTCCAGTGGGACAAGCGTGCTCTGCAGACCCCACTTTAACTAACGTGCACCCCACCTAGTGAGCACTGTGGGTACACTGAGGAGCCTAGACACGGTCAAAAACAGATGCAACGTGGTCAATTATCCCAAAAGCTGTATTATAGCAGAGGAAGAATCCAAAGGAAGCATTTGAAATATTGTCTAGAATGACTATTAATCAAATATGTATGCAATTTCTTAAAAAAACACAAAAACCACCCTGGTCCTCTCAACAGGCTATGGGGTAGGAAACACCAGTCACACCAACCCAACCCAACCCAACCCTCAAGTCTACCGAGAAGCATTGACTCCTTCTCTCTCCCTTGTCTGTTTCCCATCCAGTTACCAATGACGGCAGAGTCTGACGACTACTCCTAGAAGCACCCCGGCAGTGAGCACCCTGCAAGAGCAAACTCACCACGTGGAAATCATGTAGCCCTCGTTGATGGAGCAGACCCTCCAGCCCGAGGCGCTTGTCCTCTTCACCTCCCTGTCCCAGTCTGAGTACGTCTCGAACAGTGGCGTCTTCTGGCTGCTGCCACCCCCAGCTCCCAAGGGTGCTCCATTAGCTTTGCTGGCTACAAGAAAAAGCAACAGTATTAAGCCTGCTCTGAATCCCCTCTTTCCTGCCTCCTGTCGCCAACACACTGCGATATAGCATCTCTGTTTGCCTCTGGTCTCTCCAAGGCCACCTCACCTGTCCTGGCCTGTCCTCCCCTGTCCTGGACAAGAGGCAGCCCCCTCCTCTCTCAGGACAGCCCCCGCATCCACTCCTGTAGCACCTCCACGCCCTGTCCATCCACTGGCTCTGCCTGCAGCGCCTTCCAGCACTAGAGAAGGCGCTCACGTGGCCACCTGGACCACCCTCACTCTACATCATACACACTGCCTGTTACATTGAACGATGCTGCTCCCACATTTCCACTCCAGTCATCTCCTCCTCAACTTTCAACTGTTCGTGGTCACTCTTGACCCCTTGCCCCAAGCTGAAGCATGAACCCAGGTCACTGCTGGTTTTGCCTAGAGAAATGAATGCATCCACCAGCGCCTACACTCTTGAGCCGTCTGGACCTTTCATCTCTCCACAACTGACTTCTCAGCCCTTGCCTACTGTGACTCACTGTGACACTCTTGGTCTCTACTTAGCTTTCCTCTGATGATAAGCTCACATGGACTCCTCACACCCCACTAGAGGGCCAGTGCAATGGAGGGTTACAGAGGCCAGGACCTGACCTTCCCAAGCAAGGAAGCTTTCCACTTGAGAAGTGCTGTGACCTGCTGGGAGCATGTGCACGGCCTCAGAGGGACCAGAGGGAAAGGATCCAATCTGGGTGACGGAGGGCACCCCTCTCAGCCTGGGGTCTCACTACTTGAGCTGCACTCAGTCCAGCCACTGCTGCCACAAGACACGCTTCCTGAGAAACAGGCTTTCAGGATGCTGCCCTTGCCCCAACGTCTCCAACTGCATTCTCTTGAAGTGCCCTCACAGGCCTGCCCTGACCCTTGTTGCCCAGTGCTCTCCAATTCCCATCCCCCTGTAGTTGTGAAAACCCTTTTCCGTCTGGTAAACATGCCACGCCTGTTCCTATGGACTACTTACTAAACCTGCTCTAAAACAGGTATTTTCTGAGATCTGACCACAGGCTAAGGCCTGAAAATGGACAAATGAGTAAGATTTCACCCCTACTTTGAGGCGCTTGTCACAGTGCACTGGGTGGACGTGAGCGATGAGGAGCAGGAAGCCCTGCGCTGTTGCTGGGGCCACAGGCTGGGTGGGCAACTTCCCAGGCTTCTGACCCAAGATGCTGGGAGCAGAGTCCTAAGGAACCAGCCAAAGCAAGCACTGCCCAGTGGCTGATGAGGAGAGGAGCGTGCTGGGCAGAGCTGGACTTAAGAAATATGGTTGATTTGTACACCATTGAGTAGTGAGCTAACTACCTTAAGAGCAGTAAGGGTGCCAGAGGTGGCGGCAGGGAGGTTGGGGAATGCCCAGACGCACAGGTGTGCTGTACCAAAGAGCAAGCACCAGCCACATGTGCTCTTTACATTCCAACTGAAATTTAAGTTTAACTGAGATTTTAAATTCAGTTCCTCAGCTGCATCAGGCACATTCCAGTGCTCAAGAGCCACATACGGCCAGCGGCTTCTCTACTGGACAATGCAGGGCACAGGACATGCCACCACTGGACAGCACTCATGACTCTAGATCAGGAAGGGTCTCAGGCGCCAGGCTAGGAATTTTGGATTTTATCCTTTAAGTGGCATCAGAGTTATGATGATTATGATTCTAACAGAGCTTGTTAAAAGTTAAAATGCTCCTTCTAAGCCCACATCCTGGCATGCTGCTCCGTCTCAGCACCTGCTCTTAGAGTGACAGCCACAGGAACATGCTGGGAAACCTGGGACTCGTGACTGCTCTAGAACTCAGAACCCACATGGGACTCCCAGGTAATTCCCACTTTACACAGTGTTCCAAAACACCAAAACCCACAGCAAACTAGCCAATATTAGAAAACCTAAGTATTTCATCATATGACTAAATTAAAGGGGAAAAACCCTCCCAAGAACAGAAAAACATTTGAGTTCGACACATACTCATGATATAAAAAAATAGCAAATTTTAGCAAATTAGGAATAAAAGGGAATTTCCTTAACTCGATAAAGCCTATTTATCAGAAACAAACAGCAAACATCATCCACATTGAAACCAAGAAAAGAAACGCTGCCTTTACCACCACCACACAGAGGTCCCTGCCACGCACTGAGACCACCACCACAGAGAAGCTGAAAGAACACCATGGACTTTCGTCAGGAGCTTGTAAATACTCTGGCAGCTCTGCCCTGGGCGGAGACAGGACTGCGTGCTTCTCAGTGTCCTGAGGTCGAAGACTAGGAAGCTGGGCTGAGAACACACTCACTGTTTATGAGACTGCTCCTCTGGCAAAAATATACAAAATCTCAAGATCAGAGGAGGAAGAGATGGCTTTTTCTGAACATGAAGCGAAGGCACCTACAGGGTCTTGCACTGTGTGCTGTTCCACAGGTTCTGCCTGTTCAAAACCTGTCCATGTCTTAGCCGCCAGGATCAGGGCTCTTGGACACTCGACATCTTCTCCAGCGAGAGCTTATTATGGGATGTGCAGCAGGAGCAGGTACTAAGTCTGTCACTAATGAGTCCGGCAATTTTTATGCTTTCCAGGATCCCAAGGCCCAAAGCCCGTGCCTGTGTACGAGTGCCCAGGGAAGGCTGGCTGGGCTAGTCCTCTAGAAGAGTCGGCCACCCTGACGTTGCTGACTTAGGTCTCAGGATAGCTGTCCTCAGCCAGCTGACAGGGACAGGAAACGGAGCAAGGTCAGGAGCATCCTGACCTTCACTAGCTCCTGTGACAACAGTTCACAGGTCTTATCCCAGACTCCAGCCCTACAGAGTTTCCATGTAACCAGCCCCTCCATACTTAGAATGGCCTCAAGCAACAGTAAAGACCATAAAACGGTCAACACAGGAAAAGAAAGCCCATCACTTCAATGACACTGCAAAATCAGAGTCACACAGAAGGCGAGGAAGGGAAAAACAGAACTGTGATCATGAAGAAGTTCCAGAGAGCTGAGTCAACAAAGTGGTTCGGATGCAACATTCAGACCTCATATGCTGGGTGGCGCCAGTGTTACTGTCTTTTAAAAGCTCTCCCAACAGGGATTCTGGTGTATAGACTGATGCATTCCTACTGCAGAGACATGAGCACCAGTCACAACCATTCACAGCTACATGACAATGTTAGAAGAACTGACAAACAAAAAACTAAAACTTTCTACAGTTTTGAATGGAGTTCATACTCTGCAAGTGGTTTTCCAATAAGCACCTAAAGGAACATCCAATACTCAGACCCGTGCTTACAAAAGGAGGATAAGACTGCAAAACAAAATGACGTCACTGAAAACATGCCTTTCCTGCGGAGTTTACACTGCACCCCGAGATCTTATTGCCCCATCTGTAAGCAGGGGTCTGTCACAGGGTGGAGCTGCTGACCCTGGGCCTGCCAGGAACCTGAGGTTTTCACTCTTTAGTCTAGAAGCACAATCTGACCTCTTGTCAATTTCATAACAAAGATGGACCTGTATCTTTTGGACGTTATTTGTCCAATAATACACTGACTGGTGAAAATAGCATCCTCATGGCTGCTTTCAGGTTAAAAGAGGAAAAACAGAACTATTGTTCTTGTTTGTGCCTACGCCTCCCGCGGTGTCAGCGTGGGGGCTGTCCCAAGGGATGTCCCACCCCGAGGGTGCCGGGCATCTTCCCAAACATCAGGATCCTCCCAGAAGTGTTCAAGTGATGCTGAACACAAGAGAAAAGCTCAGGACGACTAAGGCCAGCTAAAAGACTCTTAGATAACTGCTGGGCACATCCTCCTGCTGCTCATCCCAACTGTGAGAACAGCTTTGTCACCTGCCTGCCTGTAGTAAGAGCTTCTTTAATCCAGCTGCTGAATCAAGGTGTCATCCTGAAGGTCAAGGGTTACTGGGTCTTCCATTCATTTTAATGGATTCTGACTGCAGTGTGTGGAAATTTCAGGCCTCCTCTGATCTTACAGATGCAGTGTACCTTCTGCAACAGCAGGGAGGGTATGAAAGGATGTTACCCTACGAGGAACCTTCCCACAACTCTGGCTGAGTACTGTGTGTACAAAGTGCCTGCCGAGGAGGAGGAGTCTGAAGGATGCAATATTAAGTGCTCCTAGATATTTTACATGTTAATCGTCAATCATTACTTTCTCGACAAGCTACAAGTGAGAAGATACAGAAGTGATAGATGGGAATAAGGAAACCCAGTGGTAGAAGGGCTATGGACTGAATAAACTATTTAAAATATTAACATCCCAGAGATGCCCACAAGGAGTAGATGGAGACAACCATGAGCAGTCAGGGAATCAGGTCTCGGGTCACCAAATGCATCAGACAGTTCACTGTCCTGAGTGAGTTCCACGCATCACACTGTGCAGAACTTGCAGGTCTCTACACCGGACTCGTTCCTACCAGAAAAAAGGCAGCTGGTTTGTATCATGAACAGTGGGAATCAAAGGCCCTCCTAGGAGAGGTGAGAGTGTGATTGGGGATAACCCTGAGGATCGCATGTGCAGCCTGATGATGTGCCAGAGGGCCATCTGTTCACCTCCTAGTGCAGACTTACAGCACCTCATCTTCAGACAATAAGTGGATTTTCTTTATGTTAAGAAATGAAAAAATTATTTGTATTGTTCAAGCCTAAGTTACAGTTGTATTTTGATACTAAAAATTAAGTTACAAACATTTTGTTATCTAATTTCTTCAAGTATAGTACCATAAGACAAAAGCTATGACTTCCACCTGTCATCTCTGCAGTGTTTAGGAGAATCACCTAAAGCAGTGAAGTGCACTGACACCACATGCATCTGCGGGTGCTATGTGCTGCTCCTGCATCTTAATGCACTTACAACATGATGATATGGAATACACTTTTATTACACACATTACTTAGATTACTATACATGTTCTAACAAAATGTAAAAGACCAGTAAAATTAGTAACTTACAAGCTCCTCATCAGGACCATGCTGGCTGGGTGAAGGGACCTTTCACTACGAACATGCAACTGAGTCATCCTGCTCCCTTAAAGACAGGGAAAGCATGAGACTCAGCAAGCAACAGACAGGTGGTCACTAACCTATGAGGGGGTGAAGTGACACATGACCTCACTGATTTTCCTCTAGCCTTTTATGAGGTTAAAAAAAGGAAACCGGTTGATCAAAATTACATTTGTATATAAAAGAACTCAGAATTATATGATCACTTGCAATTTTCTTTGGTGGTGTCATCACTGACATCTATGTGAACAGAACTATTCACTTTTGTAAAATCGGTTTAAAATATACTTTTTTTGTCCTTCAGATGAATGCTCATCTTCTTTCATGAATCTTATTCATAAAGTCAACATTTTGACTTAATGAAGTTCATTAAAGAGTTCAGCCACTTCAGCTTTTGCACAAAATCACACCTTTCCAAAAAATATTATGAATTTCAGATGTCTTTTAATTTCCTCCAGTTTTCTTAACAAGTAAGATTACTTTAACTCAAGCTACCAATTAGTGGTGGGGAGGGAGAGTTATCTTCCTTCATCATAAAATACAAGCCACTGACTGCAGGTAAAACACTTGACACGCTTCCCATAAGCCTTTCATTACAGTTGCTTATAGGTTCTTCACTTTTAAAGGAAATAATCTGACAAATATTATCTCTTTTAGTACAGACTGCTTAATTCTCTAATAGTTATGAAGGTAATAATTCAACAATCATTAAGGCTCAGGTACTTGGAGGCTTCTCATAAAACATAAGAATAAAATTTAAGACAATGTAAAGTTAGTCACAGTAGTTAATATTTTCATATTTACCTGAATTGTGGTATTTTTTCCCAACATATTCAAATGCAAAGAGTAGCTGGAGGTCTGTTGGCTGGGAATAATGAGCTATTGCAAGGCATACCTAGGAAAAATTCTACATTTAGAATTGATTTCAACACATGTGGTTAAATGAAACGTACAACGAGGCCTTGGGTGTGGGGAGCATCATCTGGGGCAGGGTCTATGGACACTTGTTTCCATGTTTTCCTGCTGACCCAGAGCTGGAATGGGCTCTCTCAGGCCAGGGACCTCATTCACTGCTGTGCCCCCAGACACTGTTCAATCTTCAGTGACTACACGATAAGTGTTCAGTACGTGTTTCCTGAGCTGAATTTTAACAGGGAAATAATTTTACTCAGATAAACACAACTGGGAAAGTAAATGAAGCATTCTCAAAAAAGGTAGTGACATATCTACTCCTAAAAAAAAAAGAGAAATTTTCATTTTTTAAGGACGATAATTATTTAATACCAGCAATTCGGAAGGCTCAGTATAAGGGATGCTCTTTTAATGTTCATACCTCATTTTAGATTTTAGAAAAATCTAAAAACAGAAAAGCTACAATTTTTTTCTTACAAAAAAATAAAAATTAGTAAGAAACCCAAAAGTTCATGGGTGGTTACAAGAGATACATTCAAAAAAAAAAAACCTGTTTAAGTAAAATGGTTGAGATTCTGCCTGTGCTGGGAAAAGCATGGTCTTTGTAACCCAATGATCAGGGCTTGAATCCCAGCCCCACCAAGCACCTGCCAGGAACCTGTGTGAAGTCAACTCATTGCCTGGAGCCTCAGTTTGGGCATGTGAACCATGAAGATGAAATCGAGACTGCACTAAGGATGGTTAACTCGAGCACATGCCCAGCCTCGGAAGCAGCTGCACACGGGGGATATGGCTGCGATCAACCTCAACTGCTGCTGGACAGACTGAAGGATGGTATTCCATGCTTACAGAGCCCTGGACTAGATGACGGGAGATGAGAAAACAATCTCACATGAGCAGACAGAGGAAAATGAAGACAGATGCAAGGAATGAACAGACTACCTTACTTAAAAAGTTATCCTTTAGAAGAAAAAGCATTAAGCCAGAATGATATGCTTTTGACAGTAAGCAAGCAAGTAGTTAATTGTTAGTCCTTGTCAAATTAGCCATGTCTGCGGTGGGCTGATGCAGATTCTATTCACTGGTAAGTATGTGTTAGTTGTTAGAAATATATTTTAGAAGACTTCTATAGAGTAAATGCTTCCTGTCTTACTAAATTAAAACATAAAACTAGGAGAATGGTTATCATTAGTTTCAGTTTTGACGAAAAACAACAATAATAATGGCTCCTTGAAACATACGAAATACCTTGCTATTCTTAACGCCTGTGGGAGAGCCTTCTGTGAGAGGCCATCCCACTTGGGAAGTTTAGGAGACAGTGACCTGCATTTCCATCCCCTGCCTGCTCACCAATCCTTAGAGCACTTCTTCCAGGAGCAAACTACAGAATCTACACCTTGAAAAAGTCCTTGTCACTTCCTACTCCTCTGGGCACCATGCTTACTAGTTTATAAGCTTTGTTGCACTCAAGATTCTTTTTTCATTTTTGTCCCATTTTTCAGCACTACCAGAGCCACAATCTTAAGCCATACCTGCCTTATGGCACCTCTCTGGGCTTTCCTATACTCTGAAAAAAATTAAATAATAACACTTAAGGATTCTCTTCTAAAGATGAACTTTTGAGCAACAACTCTGTTCTCTGGATTATCTGCTGCAGTTAACAGATACCTGCATGCTGAATTAAATCTCCTCCATCAGGCAGGCTCTACCAGCCCTCCTGTACCTACCCCCACCCCCGACTCCATCCCTCAGCAGTCTCTGGTCTGGAGCACCTGTCTGAATATGATCCGTCTGACTCGGTCCCAGCCACCTCCTTCTCCACACTCTGCTCAAGAAGCCCTTCCCCAGTGATCAACCAACCACTCTTTCTCTGAAGCTGTCATCTCTGGTCAATGCTCTGTAGTTAACTGAGCTTGTGGAGCGGTCCTTTCCAGGGCTTCACATACTAGTCATGAGCATGGATAAGGAGGAGGATACCGGGATCTGTTTTACTTCTACTATGAAGTTCAATTCCTCCAGGGCAGACACCATGCCTCCTCCCTTCAACAGGTACTTACGGAGCAGCCACCTGTCCTAAATCCTGGGGACTCAGAATGAACAAAACAAACACAAACCCTGTGCTCACCCTGAGCTTACATTCTAGTGGGGAAGACAGACACTGAACCAGATCAACAGGAAAGTCTATAGTAAAAGAGACAAGTTTGAGTGCTAAAGGGGAAAGTAAAACGAGGAGGGAAGAGGATGTAAGGTGATAAAGTGAGGGAAGGAGAAAGCACATTAGTCCTTTAGAAGAGAAGACCAGGCAACGCCTCCGCGCACATCTCAAGAAGCCCAGGAGACTCTACACTTCTGCCATCTCCTTAGTACTTTCTGGGGGTGCTCTGCACTTCAGAACAGCTGCACTGAAAATACCAGTTTACAGAATGAGTTCCTAATGTAGTCAGGAAGTACTCCAAGCCCATCATACTAGTTATCACTTTCTCTGAGACCTTTAGAAAGCAGTCAGGGGCCGTGTTTACACAAAAGAAATCCACATATCACTGACGATGGAATATGTTTTTTATGGCTACCAAGCCTATCTGTTAGGCAAAACCCAGCGCAGCCCATTTCTAAAAAGCCCTTAAAAATAGCACAACATCACATTTACAAAGGTTAGGAAACAAGCCTTTGCATTCGCATTTAAAGAAGACTACAAAAATACTGTGACACTGACTCAGTTTAATCTCTTGCACTACAGTTGATTTTGGGGGAAGGAGACACAGCCGGGCCTAAGCTGTTGGTCAGCAGTGTAACCACAAGTGCGCATGACTCTGCTCAGGTAACCTCAGTCCGGGCTACCTTTGGGAACCCAGACAAAGGCACACACAACTGTGTCACACTCCCACTGTCACTGCAGGACACTCTGAGAAGAGCAGGAAAGCCAGGAGTCCTCTTCCTTCAGCCTTTCCACACACACTACCTAAAAAGCCTATGTCCACGTTCCTAGGTTCTATCACTAAGAGTGTAATAAGAGACTTAAAAAAGTAGGTCTCATTTTCATGTACAATTATTCCAATCTTGTAATGTACTCCCTAAGCATTAAAAAATTTTCAGAAAAACTCTACACCTTTGAAAACTGCTTCTGAAATAGTTCATTTGCCCTGGCTATTGTAGGAAATTGTAATTTTTTGTAATACTATTGATTGATATTTAGGCAATAACAAAATAGACTACCAGAAGGCTTTGGAGCAATATTTAACAATATGTGAACCAATTTAACATTTCAAGATTTTGTAATTCAAATAGGAATATAACTGCTGTATTTCCAAAAATTATCAATAGTTCATACATCAGAGAACTGTGAACATGCATTTGGTCATTTTAAAACAATTTACAAAAATCAGAGCACTTCCAGAGAAAACAGTATTCAAAGTTTCCAGAAGGTAGAATCAAGCTGTAACTTCCCAACTGTGACCTAGTTTCAAACAAAAATTTTCACATGAAATAAAAGAGTATACTAGAATTTTTGTTTTAAATTCATGAAGACATTAAACTTTGGCAGCCATACATGATTTAACCTCTGTGTTTGAAGATATGTAAATCAGGGAAAAAATTCTCCACTTGTATTCTTTCTTTCTGGCCATACCACACAGCATGTGAGTCCCTGACCAGGGATGAACCTGAGTCCCCTGCAGTGGAAGCACGGAGTCTTAACCACTGGACTGCTAGGGAAGTCCCTCCATTTATATTCTTAATGCCTATGTTTCTTTCCTGTATTACCCCCTTATGATTGTACAAAAACAGTATTTCTTTTGGGTGTGAGGTAACTGCTTTTTATATTTTAAGACAGTGGGGAAAGGATTTTTGCTAGCAATCTGGTCTGCAGAAAGGGCATAAAAAACTGGAGCCGCCTGGCCAGTTTTGTGTAGATGGTTCAGTGAGGCCCCTGAAACACTTGCAAGCAGCAACAACAGATAAGGGATATTCTGAATTTCTGTATCATTCATTTGGAAATTAATCATTTATGTGGAAACATCTTTCATGCTTCTACTTTGTACTGTTAAATTTAATTTTCATTTGTTCACGCTTTATTGCCTCAATTATACTTAGCAACAAATATCCTAGATGGTGCAAGAAGGAGTCAGATAATTATGATTTTCAATGACTGACACAGTGTCATCTGAATAGAGGATGGGAGAAACGTAAACTTCCTGGAAGACTGTTGGGCCACTGTATCAATTTCTTACTTAAAAAAAAAAAAAAATCCTGTTGTAACTTCATTCCCTCAGTTCCAATGGTGTCCCTATTCTTGACATGCTATACATCCTGAAGGTGATATTTCCATAAGCAGATTCCTGGTGCTTTGATTAAATAACTATAGAGGAATTTTAAAAATTAACTTGGTTCAACTATTTTATATGCAATCTACCACCTAATTAATTCTGAAGTCTTTCTACATAAGAACAGGTACCTCAAACTAGTAAAATGCCAAAATCACAACTGCAGAACGGAATGGCTAACAGTAGCCATAAAAGTTATCTGGCTCAATTTCCCATCCGGCAGCATGCAGAAAGATGGTCTTATCACACTCTCTGAAAACTGGTCAGCCACAGACCCACCACCACTTCTGCTACCTAATCGAGCTGCAATGGCCAGGCATCTTCAGATATTCATTTCATGTTTGCTCTCCTGTAAAGAAACTGTTGACTCTGGTTCTAAAAATAAACTTATCACCTCCCCACCAAAGTACATGAAGACAGCTGCCATAAGATTTTTCCGATAGCCTCACTGATATCAACAAAAAATTAACTACAGTAAGTTTACTGACAATGGAGAACAAATGCATCCATTTCTCACGGCCCAAAATTCCCTCATCGCTCCTCTATTCCCAATACATGAGAGCAAGGCTCCCCTGGAGATTCTGTTAGTAGACTCTATACTTGCTGCACCATAGACTAGCTGGGGTGGGAGGTTGCTTAGGACCAGCTTCACTCCTCTACTAAAGCCAAAATATGGACTCAAAGAAGGAATTTCTGCCCTTGAATCTCACTCCATGAGTTTGCAGTAAACATTTCCTGGAAGGCAGGGGAAAAACAAGGCAATTAAAAAGCCCTTAGCTTTTAGTTGCCCCTGTGGAATATCATTTAAATTAATTCATTAAAATTTCTTTATCATACCAATATTTATTAGACCCCTCCTATAACTGCGTATTTACCTAACCTTACGTAACCTCAGTCGAGCTTTTAGTTTGATGATAAAGCTCTGAGGTTCTGAATTAAGTCTTACCAAACCTCAATTACAATATAACATCATCTTTTCAATCTTTTTAATGAGAAAAAAACCAGATGGTAATGATCTTAATGTAAAAGGTACACGATAGTTTTTTGTATTTTAGAAGTTGATTAAAAAAAAATTAGGTAGAATAGCTTAAAGTAGCCATAAACTAGTCCAAGGAAAGAGTTATAGAAACATTTCTGAAATCCACTTTACATAAGCAGACATCTAATAATGCCCCCCCCAAAAAAAAACAACAAAACTGAGCAGCTGAGAAATGAGAACTTCCATAAGGAACTGCAACTGGTAAATACAGTGCAAAAGTTGTGATAGAACTTAACAGGATTACCTTTTTGGCGCTTTCAGGACCGGATTCATCAAAGCGAAATCTGACAATTCTGAAATCTTTACAGTAAATAATTAACTCTGTTGGATTAAATTTCAGCTTCTGGTTTGGACCCAGGACTTTCTGCTTCCTCTTATGGTCATTTACTGAAAAGGAAAAAAATTTCTTTCTTGATACTTACTCGTTAGTATACTTTAACAAACTCTTGCTGAGAACAACTGGAAGATCACCCACCACCTGGGTACTACTTCTCTGCAATCTTTCCTATTCAAATATGATTCTGAGAACTTTGGGGGGTCAGTTTTAACACTGCTTCTGATGATACCAAAGATATCTCTTTACACAAAATCACTACCATCTATACCTAATGATTAAAGTTTTAATTAAAAAGAGGACAAATACCAGAAATATAAAAAGCCATGTATTTTATATCTCTTTTTAAAATCATTTACTGATTACTTTCTCATTAATTTTCCTGGGACTCAAAATATAAAAAAGGAAAAAAACCTACAGAAATAAAATTTCAACCAAAGCACTCGAGGGATATAATTCTTCAAGCGAGAATTTAGCAACTGAGTGAAGAATAATACATACGTGTGACTATTTGCTCAATACACGTTAAAGGCACATCATGTTCGCCAAGTAGAAGGTTTCTGTAATGGAATTTCTGAAATAAAAAAGTATGCTCATGTTAATTCTGTTAGCAATCACTTCCCAATGGTAATAACAAGCCTTACTGTTAGGTGTGATGAGAAGCTGCAAGGACGCCCTCTGAAAAGAACAGAAAACTCTTGTCTGTGTGTAGCTATGACAGTTGGAGAAGGCAACGGCACCCCACTCCAGTACTCTTGCCTGGAAAATCCCATGGACGGTGGAGCCTGGTAGGCTGCAGTCCACAGGGTCGCTAGGAGTCAGACACGACTGAGCGACTTCACTTTCACTTTTCACTTTTATGCACTGGAGAAGAAAATGGCAACCCACTCCAGTATTCTTACCTGGAGAATCCCAGGGATGGGGGAGCCTGGTGGGCTGCAGTCTATGGGGTCGCACAGAGTCAGACACGACTGAAGCGACTTAGCAGCAGCAGAAGCTATGACAGTGCTGGCACTGTGGCCGCACAGAACACATTCCAGTGGGAATCAGGGGAGGAAGAGAGACATGACATGCCTGCTTTGATCACATTCTCTCCACCTTTTTTCCACACTTTAAACAATAAAATTAGGGCAGATTACACACTACAGTGTCACTATAACTTACAGGATATGTCACAGTATCCTGTCAATCACTTCACAGCAAACATGTGCATGTCTAGTTCAGGTAAAACTGTCATTAAAATAGTAAAGAAATGGGCCTTCAAAGTCATCAGATTTTAATGGGTAAAGTCATGGCCTGATATTCACAATGGAGATTTTAGAGCAGAAAGTCTACCAGAAATAAAAATCTTTAGTCAAACTACTGCTTGTTTGTTAAACTCACTTTTTAAACACACTTTTAAACTAAGGACATAGCTGATGCTATTAACCTTCTGTTGGTGGGGCACTGGCTTATTTTCTTTTATTAGTGGTATTGGATTTAAGCTCTTCCAGGTATATGGGTCTCATTTACAGTGAAATCTGGGGCCAAAGATAGAAATAAAGCTAAAAACAAAAGGAAAAACCCAAGTTTACAGTCTAATAAGCCAGTGTCTCTACATAGCAGGTATCTCTAAATGCCTTAAATTTAAATATACCTACACGCTGCAATAGATTGAAATATACTTATCCATAGTTACACACTTCAGTCAAAAGTTTAGAATTAACACCCAAATATAACTATCACAAATAAAAGTCTAGGGGGTAAAGTATACAACACTTTACAAATCAAAATAGAAAATGAGAATTAAGGAAAAGTCCACTATTATTATTAAGTTTGTCAAATGACTGAACTTTTGAGAACTCAAATTATATGGAGCTACTCTTACCCAGTTAGAAAATAAAATAGCAAAAGGTTATTAATATTTTCTTCATTCTAACTGTACTAGAAATTTGAAATAAGAATTTGACTTTTTTGGAAAAATACCAGTTAGATACTATGAAATACATAAAACATGCAGCATTTATGAGATTATTTGCTGTATACTTTTTTCTCTTTATGACCAGTCAAAAAGGATCTCTTTGTTTTTATATGTAGGTTAAAAGATTTAGAAGGAAATAATAGCTCCCTTATTTAAAAGGTTACATAAGCAAAGATCACAGAGGATAAAAATAGCAATGTGACTTAAAACCATCTCACTAACTGCACCCGTCTCAACATTCTCCTTAAACTTTACTTCGAATTTTAATGTAATACATTCCTAACCTTGCAATCAGTTCAGTTCAGTTCATTTGCTCAGTTGTGTCCGACACTTTGCAACTCCATGGACTGCAGCACACCAGGCTTCCCTGTCCATCACCAACCCCTGGAGCTTGCTCAAACTCATGTCCACTGAGTGAGTTGGTGACACCATCCAACCATCTCATCCTCTGTCATCCCCTTCTCTTCCTGCCCTCAATCTTTCCCAGAATTAAGGTTTTTTCCAATGAGTTGGTTCTTCGCATCAGGTGGCCAAAGTATTGGAGTTTCAGCTTCAGCATCAGTCCTTCCCATGAATATTCAGGACTGATTTCCTTTAGGATGGACTGGCTGGATCTCCTTGAAGTCCAAGGGACTCTCAAGAGTCTTCTCCAACAGCACAGTTCAAAAGCATCAATTCTTCGGTGCTCAGCTTTTTTTTATGGATGTGAAAGTTGCACTCTAAAGAAACCTGAGCGACGAAGAATTGATCCTTTTGAACTGTGGTATTGGAGAAGACTCTTGAGAGTCCCTTGGACTGCAAGGAGATCCAACCTTACATTACTCACTTATTAATAATTTTATTGTAATTTTTCCATATCTGTGCTTTGTGTAAGAATATGTATTGCTTAAGAGTATAAAAGTGAAGTCACTCAGTCGTGTCTGACTCTTTGTGACTCCATGGACTGTAGCATACCAGGTTCCTCCGTCCACGGGATTTTCCAGGCAAGAATACTGGAGTGGGTTGCCATTTCCTTCTCCAGGTATAAGGTATAAGAATATAAAGCCTTCATACAATTAAACAGCATATAAATCAAACGCACCTGTAATGGCATTGGATCATCCGTAATGAAGGAAATTTTGAAGTTACTGCATATCAGTTTTCCCCACAAATCGTATTGGCTTGTGTCCGATGCGATGCATTTTCTCACAAAATTGACTTCATTTACAACAATTTCTCCTTTACAAAAAGAAATATATCATTGTGCGAACTATAAACACACCATAAAATGTCAACAGTTGCTGTGTGACCTAGAAGGAAGATATCCTGATGACAGTAAGAAGAAACACTGAGCCAGGACTTCACAACAGTAACAGCCGCAGTGGGGCGCTGTGCTCCATTTGGGAGATACAGAACCTGAGCCACAAAGACCTTGGGTCTGAGATGTTCCACCAGAAGGGCTGAGCGGGAGTCTGCACTGTCTACTGTGCTACACTACCTCTCATTATTTACCGAAAGGCATCCCAGAGAAGAAATGACCTGCCCTGTCTCCTGCAGAGTATTATTTGATGGGATAGCTGTGTTCTATTAACACGTGACTTGATCTCCAAAGCCCATGTCTTCGATTGCTTTCATAAGGGATGAGAAACAGTTCAGTGTTAATCTCAAGCTTAAGAATGCAATCTATTTATCCTAAAATGTTAGTCGCTCAGTCATGTCCAACTCTGTGTGACCTCATGGGCTGTTACCTGCCAGGCTCCTCTGTCCATAGGTTTCTCCAGGCAAGAATACTGGAGTGGGTTGCCATTTCCTTCCCCAGGGGATCTTCTGGACCCAGGGATCAAACAAGGGTCTCATGCATGGCAGGCAGATTCTCTACTGCCTGAGCCAGCAGGGAAGCCCATTTAACCTAAAATAAACCCACAAAGCCAAATCGAGTTTCCGCTGCACTCACATGATAACTAGTTGGCAACAAAACTTTACAATGTAGCTTTTGAGTTAAAAGAGTTAAAAAAAAATAAATATAAGAAACCAAAACAAAAGTTATAATGTTCTTTGAAAAGTGATTTTCTGTAACTGATTTAAACCATGGTCATCGTTAATCCTTCAAGTTCTAAAATACAATCAGACCCAGGGATATTTTTAAATAATCCCTGTCTAGAGTCTTCAGTGGAAGGGTTAGGGTGCTGATCCACTTTGCCTGATAAACCCTCTAATAGTGATGGACAGAACTGTTTGCTGAGAAGACCCAAACACCCACCAATTCACACAGCACAACTTGTCTCAAAACAATCTTCTGTCTTAAATAAACTTGACTTGTAAAGACAACTTTCAAAATTCTTAAAATGCGCAAGACTAGTTTTAAGAACAGAACCCTAACATTTACTTGAGGATTAAATTTAAATGTGCTCATGTCCAATTCTCAGCTTGGACCAGGGGAGTAACTGTCCCTTTTAAGCAGACAAGCCTCTTCCATGTGGCCTGCCAGGCCCCTCATGCCCCAGCACTGTCCTCACACCCTCCCTCCTCTCCAGCCTCAGTGGGCTTGTAGTCACTTTCAGGGGCTGGACTACTTTCATCCATGGGGGTCTTCGTACCCTATGCCCATTCCCTGGAATACTCTTTCCTTCTCCATCAGTCCAATCACTTTCTCAGGAATGCCTGAGAAAAACCTCTATAGAGATTACCTCCCTCAATCACAGCATCATCTACTTGTTAATTCTCAGCCCTAATCACAGCTACTGTACAATGACATACACTCTACATAAAGTCAGTGCCTGTCCCACCCTCAGGACCACATGCCCCTGGAGGTAGAGCACAGACTGATTTTTCTCCACTGCTGACAGTGTAGTTGTAAGGTGAAGGCTGAGCACGGGGCTGAAGCCCAGTCAATGAGTGCTAACACACAAGTGAATGAACCACTTCACTACTCTGGGTTCACCAGACCAGCACTACCAATGGAGCAGGCATGGTTCCAGCCAGCCAGAAACCAGTGATGTCATAGGACCATGCGCCAAGAGGGTCAGGAGATAAGTGCTAGCTGGTAACCACAAATTCGGAAAACCGCCCCAGGCCATCCTGCTCCTCTGCCACACCACAGAGAGCTGCAAAATCCTCTGGTGGGAGGGTCACAATGTTTTCCCATGTGGTTCTCTCAGCAACTCATCAGCTGAGAGAGTCAGATGAGGGACCTGGACTGAGAGAGAGCCCAAGATCTTAAGTAAGCAGTATACTTGGAACTTACAAGCAAGTGTTCTGATTTCAACTTGTTTCTTTATGAAAAGTATTAGTCACTCATTCATGTCCAACTCTTTGAAACCTCATGGACTACAGCCTGCCAAGCTCCTCTGTCCACAGAAAGAATTCTCCAGGCAAGAATACTGGAGTGGGCAGCTGTTCCCTTCTCTAGGAAGATCTCCCCAACCCAGGGATCAAACCCAGGTCTCCTGCATTGCAGGCTGATTCTTTACTGTCTGACACATAATTAAATGCTCTGTATCGAGATGCAGCAGAAGGCACCAAACAGAACTACAAATTCAAAGTGCTAGCCATCAACATATGTTGATTCTCACCAAATAACTTAAATACATAAAATTTAAATCTTCCATAATGCCCTGGACACAATGTTTACCAAATGCCATATCAGAATCTGGCAATGGAACACTCAACCTTTTCTCTCCACTAGAAAATTACAGCTACCAATCATTAAGAGGACAGTTAACTTGGAGGGGAAAAAAACCCCCGAAACTACAAGAGTCATTTCCAGCTCAGACAGTTCGAGGTGGCACTCCTGTAACACTGAGCTCTTTACACAAACTCCTGGCTCACTGAGCAGAGCCCACACCACTTCAATGTTCTGCCACTTTCCTCAAGGAGCCAATTAACCCAGAGTCTCAAAACAATGCTACAAAAACACACCTGGTTAACACACATAATTCATACACATTTTGGGGGTATGTTATACTCAGATAAATTTTGCTTAAAAAAAAAAAAAGCCTCGCCCCAGGATTTCAAGATCCTGGGAAGGGGAGCAGGGATGATGATGGAAAGGAAGGGATGGTGGGCCTGTGGGACAGGACACATGACCACAGTAGTGCTGCTAGCCAACCATGCTGATGACATCTGCACTTGGGCAGCCCTTCCCCCACCAGCTGCACTCTCCTACCATGGACAAAAATACAATAGATGCAGTCCACCAAGGCAGCAAAAATGAGACAAACATGAAAAGGAGCAGAAGGGGTTTACTGGGTTCAAGGTGGGCCAACCCAGATGGCAGCCCCCGATTTTTGTAAATAAAGTTTTATTGAAATGTAGCCATGTTCATTCATGTGTGTACTGTCAGGACTGCTTCCACAGGACAAAGGCAGAGCTAAGTACTTGCAACTAGAGATTTCATGGCTTGCAAAGTCTCAGACCTCAGGGCTTGCAAAGTCTCAAACACTGACTGGGGCTTCACAGAAGATGCTTGCCCAGCTCTGTGCTAGAGACAGTCACTTAAGTGACAACTCTTAACATTAGTGAAATGAGGCTTGGAAAAAGCACTTGGGCATGTCCCGTCAGAAAACAGGCACTTTCAACCTGCAATGATGCAGTGACCTCGGGGGGCTCAGAAAGCCCATTCAGCAGTGCTGAAGATCCACGACGTCCCTTGGATGTGTCTGCCACAGTTGGGGGGGGGGGAGGGGCAGGGAACAGAGGGAGGGAGAGAAAGAGGGGGAGAGAGAGAGGGAGAGGAAGAAAGAGAGAAAGGATATTTCAAAAGGATACAGGAGCCAAGATGAAAGAATTCATGATCTATCAGTAAAGATGGAGAAATGATCACAGACTGAAGCTAGGGAGAGAGGATAGCTAAGTGCACTATGGTGTCCTGACGGGAACTCTAAAACAGATAATAGCCATTAGTAAAAAAAAAAACTAGGGAAATGTGAATAAAACCTGCAGCTTAGTTAATAGTGCTGTTAATTTCTTGTTGTTCAGTTGCTAAGTCATGTCTAGCTCTTTGCAATCCCATGGACTGCAGCCTGCAAGCCTCCTCTATCCATGGGATTTCCCAGGGCAGAATACTGGAGTGGGTTGCCATTTCCTTCTCCAAGGGATTTTCCTGACCCAGGGATCAAACCTTCGTCTCTCACATTGTAGGCAGATTCCTTACCACTGAGCCACCTGGCCGACTAATTAGTCAGTCAGGCTGACTAATTAATTTATTAGCTCAGCAAAATTTATTGAGGTTATAAGATAGTAACATTAGGGGATGCTGGGTGAAGACTATGTGTTAACCATCTGTACTCTTTTACAACAACGTTTACTTTAAAATAAAATTACCAAAGAAAAGAAAGTGGACAAGAAATAAACAATACAAACCAAAAATAAAACAACAAAGTAAGCTAGAGATCCGCTGGACTGTGGTCTTTCAAGGAAAACTGTTGCACAACTTTTCAAGCGTGGAGTGGAAATGAGCCCCTGGCAGAAAAGGCAGGAGGGCGGGATGGAGGTAGAAGAACAAGAGGGCACTTTCACGGGGAGATGCAGAGCAGGGGCTTCTTCTTGTGAGCACATCATTAAATAAGCGCCAAGTTAACCTGGCTGGAGGCTTAGCTGATGACACTATAGACCCAGGCTTTATAGTACAAGGATCACACAGCCAGCTCTCTGCTCGCAAAACAGTCTTCTGCTCACACTTTATAAACAAAAGGAGACCCTGGGTAGGAGCTATCCTCTGCAGCTGCCAGCCACGTCCTGCAGCCGTAGGCCAGGAAACCAGCTCACAGACGGGAGAGAAATAGGGGACACAAAGTCCTCTTCCCAGAGGGGACAGATACAGACACACAAGAGCCACCAGACTGTTCTTGTTACATTTTAAATTAGTGACCTTGAAGAGGAAACTCAGCACAAAAGCTTCAAAGCTCCTGAGAACCTCGATGGTTTCCCAGAGACTGTCCTCCTGGGCTTCCCCTGAGGAGGGAGGCCGAAGTGCTGCCAGCCATGTGGGAGGATCCTCAGCCTCAGGCACTTGCCAGCACACCAAGGGCAGGAAGCTACAGGGGCCGCAGGAAAGAAAAAGTAGGAAATGAGCTTCAGTGCAGGGTATGTGAAAAGCACCAGAGAAAAATCCGAACTAGAAGATGACAGGCCAAGACGTTCTACTGCAACCTGGTAAGGGATCAAGAAATCGTCAAAGTTTGTTTTCTCAAGACCTTTTCATCTGTAAAGATAAATAAGGAAATATAATTAAAATTAAT